CTACAGTAATAATAACATTGTGGATGCATAATAATTTATAAAAACCATTATTAAATATTATTAAATTAATAATAAGAAAAATCATTCAAAATTTATAAATTGATTATAATTTGCTTTTAATTACAAATAATATAAAAATGGAAAAGCATAAAAATTGTAATTTAAACTAGAACTATTTATAATAACAAAAAAATTGCTCACCATCATATATAAAAGCCAGGAATGCATTAGTTTAACTTCTTCTTCTCAAATGGATTTGATCATTGAAAAAGTTTGCTGCTAAATCACTGAAATAATATCCGTTTATAAATTACTTTGTTGAGAAAGTCAAAACCCGTTTTCAACGCTTGAAGGTGCGATTTGTCAAAGTTACACCAATACAATTTTTCATCTATTTAAATTTTAAACCCAAGGAAAAGTGTCACTTTTCAAATATCAAAATAATGATTCCGTTCGTATATTTAATTGTTCCACTCAACATTTTAATTATAATTCCATGATTTTGTACTTATTTTATGCTCTCATTGTCAGTTAAATAAAATTTTTGAGGTCAAGTTGCACCATTTCCTATCTATATTGCCGCACTCTAGGTTTTAGTGTTTCAAATTAGCTTTGCAAAAGGTTCAACAATTTCATGATGTTTTGAAAACATGCTCCATAATACAAGGATCATCGTGCAAGTAATTCAACAAACTCGTTTTGACCTGCAGCTTGCAAATTAAGCATGCAATCTTTTCATTGAGACGGTTAATTAAATCAGTCAGGCATTGGAGGAATTTCTTTTGTACTCGAGAAATCAATCTCTGCTCTCTTTCTTTCCTCAAAACCAATAAAATTTGTTCTCGAATCTGTTGCGCCGGGACCAAAAAAGCAAAACACGCGTATACTGCGCGATTGCGGGTGTTCAGTTAATGACGCAGTTTTTGTCGTATCTCCCTCTCGCTTCTCTCTCTCTCTCTCTCACTCGGCGCGGTGTGTTAAAAAAGCTATTTCTGTGTTGCACTCGAGAAAGACGAGAACGACGGAGGAACAAGAGTCGCTCGCTCGCTCGCTCGCACAACACTCAAAGCAACTTGTAATTAGTCCGCTCTGACTGGGTTTTCTCTCTTTCTCGTCGCCGCACACACAATTGTTCCATCTTTTCCTCTCCACCGCGAAAATAATATTTCTCTTTCCGACCGTGCAAAAGCTCTATTACAATTGATTGAACTGGCAGGTGCAGAAATTCCCGAATCAATCTGCCGTTATTACACATATAGGCAACGTGCTTTCCTTCGACGTTCAACGGGCTGCATAAATTTTCTTATAAGGGGATTAAACCTGCGTTCTAAGCGAAATCCACTTTGATGATAAAAAGCTGAATCCTTTACACATAAATAGACAAGATGTGGTCACCCATGAATTATGCAATTTGAAGTCACATTTTGTAAAACTACAGTTTTGTAATTTCCTGAATGAGTTTTGAGTTTTTGACGAAATTTCTAAAACCAATTTTGCATCAGCCAATTTATTGGAAAATTCAATTTTTGTAGCCTTTTTATTTGCAATAATTCCACTGCATTGTGAATTAGCTCCTTTCTATGCACATTGCAGCTTATTTTTATTAAATATTTCCAATTCGAATATTTTTTTTTTTGCTCTAATAAAAAGTTATTTATAAAATTTTATGCTCTCAAATTTTAAAATAAGAAACGTAAAGTTTACTTTTTCTCCATCCATCCGTCTGTGTTTGATTTTGCTTCATTATAACGCGGAAAGGGTTGGTTTTCCGTCGAGAAAGAAGAAAAGTCCTCCTCCGCTTACAACTCCAACGTGTACATTTTGTCAGGAGATTCGCAAATATTGGAGGCACACAGCGCTGACAATGGGAGAGCCACTTTAATAATAATAATTCCTGCGGCCGGGGAGGCACACATTCGCACACCTAGCTCAAGTTTTGATTCTCTTCTGCCGCCGCCGGAGCTTTTCTGCGAAACTGGAGCACCCGGCCCCGTGCAGAGTACACTTCTCTTGCACAGTAAAAAAAAAGTAAAACAATACGTCGACAAAGGAGGAAGCTTCCCGGTCGCCTCGCTTCTCGCCCTTGTTTTTAAATCAATCGAGCCGCAATCGAATTAATCGCTAAGAATTTATTCGTGAAACAAAAACCGCCGGGTGGTCTTTCTCGTCTCAAGGATCTCGCTCTTATCTAATTAGCACCGCAGCTTTCGATTGTTCCTCACTCAGCCCTCCCCAGGCGACTCACAACTTTTCCCTGCAGCTCTTATCTCGCCGCGGGTCGGCCGACAACTTTTCGTCAAATGAGAGCAGACTTCTTATTAACTCGTCAAATCGAATCTGCGAGAGCCAAGTTTGCGCGGAGAGAGTGCAGCGCTCGAATTTTTCGCCACCAGCGTAAAGTTGTCAACAACGAGCGCGAAATTGATGCAAATTAATGTAATCGAAAACGTGCTCTCTTGAGAAGTTGGAAACTTCATCACCGAGTATGCAACGGTGCTACTTAGGAACTCAAATTAGCGTGATTTTGATTATCGCACCGGTAATTGAATCAACCTGTCATTTTATGCACCAATTCACATTATAAAATTAAATAAAAATTGAGATAAAACTTGTAATCCTTTTTGATACAGTAGAAAAAGATGGCCGCGATTTTCTGTAATTTCTTAATTCGCTGCAATCACAATTGTAAATTATCACTATCGCAATACTTAAAAATTATTAAAGGTTAGTTATAATTCAAAAATAATTAACATAATAAATTAAGCATTAATCAACTAATTTGGTTTTTCTACATTTACAAAAAAAAAAAAAACTACATACAATGTAATGAATATAAAATTTAATGTGCAGTTAAATTACAAATCATCAATCATCATATTTAGAACTATGAAGAGCAATTGAGGCGATAAAAATTATGAAAGTTAAAAGAGGGATTATTTATTTAATGTTAATAATATCAAAATTTATTTAGATTCATTCAAAAAATCAAATCTTTTAGAGAAATTAAATTGTTAATTAAAATACTTAAGAATCTAGCTTTAAATTAAATCATGAAAAGTTGTGTTATTGAGAAACTAAAAAAAAACTGACTTGGTTATGTTTTGAGTTTTTTTCCAACAAAATTAAGCAAGCGGTTTTAATTTTTCAATGATAAACAGCAAAATTATTGCCTTTTTTATTAAATAAATAGCGAGGTTGCAATGAAAATGTTTTTTTTTTAATTATCTCAATACAATTGATAACAAAAATCCTGACTCCTCTTCCAGTGCTTATTTTCTTTCATAACCCTCTTTCTTGTTTGCGAACCATCAAAGAATGTGAAACCAACCGCAGTTTTGACCAGAATTAAAATCACAATATTAAATTTTAACTTCATTTGCATACTGAAAAAAATATATTCTTAATATTAAAAATCCAGAAAGTCAGTATAAAAAGCAAACAAAAAAGTGCAGAATCCAGCTTTGCTGTTTTAGTGAGCAGAAAAAACCGCAGCTTCACAAATATTGCGTTCTAGTGGCTAGACGGCGCCAGACAAAGGATTTTATTTTCGGCTGCGCCGCGCGTTTTTCCCATAATGAGCGTCGCTTTTCATGTGGCCGCGTGTGATTGCTTAATGGCTCACGCCCATGCTCTCGCCGCGCGAACACAGAGGCCGTTTTGACGCTCAAGGAGAGCCAAAAGCAGCGACCCACCGCACAGACGTCGCTCTTTTTATAAAAGTACTTTTGCCGGTGGGCTCTGTGCCGCGGCCCCGTCGGACGCTCGACGGTCTCGCGGCCCAACAAACGCGACCTAAATTTGAAAAAAAATGCACACCCACATCAAACGAGGGCCGCCGCCTTTTTTCTTATGACCCCCCGGATTAAAGCGGCCTCAACTTTTCCATTTGGAAATTAAGGGAAAATAAATGTATTTTTCTTTTGCTTTTGATCTTCTCGTGTTTGCACAGTTGCCAGTCCAATTTATCCTTTCTCATTTTAAATGATATAAATCCTGGCTAGAAATTTTTTACTCTGTAAGCCTCTTTATACATTATATACTCTCAGGGGATATTAAAAAACTTCCTGTAATGGTATGCAAATGCCCGGCAGTTTTCTTCTCTTTTTATTACAACACGTCTTACAATACTGAAGAGAAGATTATCAAGGCTCTCGCAGACTTGTGCGTTTTTAAGTTTTGCAATCAACTTTCTGGTTAGACCGACAAGGAAAAATGACATTCCAACCATCTAAAATTAAACATCAAATTAAATCTTTACTAAAATCATAAGCCTGCATCATGAAAATTTCATTCCTTGATATTGATGAATATTTTAAAATAAAGCTTCAAGCTTGTCCGGAATTCAATAAATGGAGAAAATTTTTTTCTTTAATAACGCTGGATAAATTTTTATTATAAATCACTTTAAAACACTCTCCTTACACATATTTCTTTAAGCCGTCGAAAAATAAAAAATAAATAAAAATTAACTGAATTTATTTAAATCATTTCAAAATTTCTTTCCCATTTATCAAACAAAATTGATGATAGGTGGCAAAATAATTGCAAACGGAGCTTCTGTTATCTTGTGATATAAAAATACCTAACATTTTAATTAATTTTTCTACAATCTCTTTTAATAGAAGTATTTGAAAATCTAATTTAAAGTGAGAATTAACGTAATAACTACCAAAAAATAATAATTTTAAATATAAAAATAATAAAACATTACAAATGAATGAGTTATTAAATGCATAAAAAAAAATTAGCTGAGCCAGGATAAAAAAAAAATTATATTTTATTTTTAAACTGATATTTAATTTAAGAACTTGCGTATTTTTTTAATGAGACATTTATGGATATTGGGGGTTTCAGACTGAAGTTTAATGAAACTTGCCTTTCATGAATAATTAGGCGCCTTTTTTGTTTATTGTTATAAATTTTTATAATTTAGCAATCTATTTTTATAATCTAGAAAAACGTTATAATAATCAATTCTTTATTCAAAATTGTCCGCACAGACACCTGTGAGCTACATCGCCTCGAGCGGCTCGTTAGCCATGCTTGAGGCCCTGGCCCAGTTTCCAGCCGTGGACTTCAACTACCCGGACAACGAGGGCAACACCCCGCTGCACTTCGCCGCCCAAGCCGGTAATTACCGCCATCCTCATTTTTTTAGCTTCTCTTTTCCCTCTTCGAAAATAGCCGCGCAGTTTGGCAGTCGGTCCGATCCACAGCAACTATGCAAACATTATGAAGAAGTGCCGCGCGCTCGTAAAATTTTACCAACTGCGCGCCGACATATTAATGTGCGCTTCTGCCGGTAGTGCGTGTTTTTTTGGCACACTCGTATATTTCTCGACCTTGTCGCAAATTGGATAATTGCTCGGTTGGAAAAAAAAATGAGAGACCAAGTGGCGTTAAATTTTTGCATCGTTTGATCTCTCGCCTGGTAAAGGAATTTTCAAAATTAGGGCGGGAGGAAAATTCCGCAAACGACACACCATCAAAAAAGTTTTATATTATATCACTTGCTCATCATTTCTCTTTGGCGTTTCAGGTCACGTTGAGGTGCTAAATCTGCTGCTGAGTCGATGCTCGGGGGTTGAAGTGGACGCGCGCAACTCGCTGGGATTCACCCCACTAATGAAAGCCGCTCTGCAGGGAAGGACCAAGTGCGCCAAACTGCTGCTTTTTGCAGGTATAATTGCTACCTTCATCAAAAAAAAGGGGAAATCAATCAAAAAAATAAAATTTGCAAGTTGAAAACATAGTTATGCGAAAATTGACAAAGCAATTTTGCTAAAATAATCTAGTATTAAAAAGTTTATTAATATTTTAATTATGTCTATTTAAAATTTTAATAAGATTTTACAATAAATTTAAACTTTTGATAAAATTTTAAAATTAGAGTTTCTAAATATAATTTGAACATTTAAATAATAATTTAATTAGTTCATCCCTAATAGTAGTCCCTGTTTAGTATTTAAATAGAATAACTTTACAATGTAATTGAATTAATAAATAAATATTTACATCTTTCTCCTTCTAATATTCTTCAGTTGTGAACAAAATTTTTTGAGTGGGGCAAAATTGTGACGAAACCTGAGCAGAATTTTAAATTTTCGAATAAAAAATAATTATAAAATTACTCAGCACAGTGAGATCAAAGTGGAAATTTTTATAAACACTCTTGAGGATTGATTCTATAAATTCAATAGCATAAATTTTGCTACATTTATTTTTACTGTTGGAAATAATTTTAGCTTGATTTAATTTTTTATCAACTACTCATATGTGTTTCTGTGTGTTTCAAATTTTTAATAATAATTTGAATATATTTTAAAATCATTTTAAATTTAAATCTAAAAAAAAAAAATGCCTTGTTTTATTGATGACGTAAATATAAGCGTCCAATCTGAGAGTGCAATCTTATATGATTTTATTTTCCAGGGGCATCTCCAGCGTTGAGGGACTTGGGCCGCGGCTACCGAGCGGAGCAGTGGGCCCGGTACTGCGGCCGCCACATGTGCGCCGAAGTGATTGACAAATTCTCGCGGCACCGCCTGCTGGAGCGGGCGGGGGCCACGCACCCCGGTGCGGCCGTGGGCGGCGGCCGCTGGGGCAGCGAGCCCGAGCTGACGGCCCAGGCGTGTCCGCCGCAGGCGGCCGCGCCCTCCTCCTCCGGCGGGGGCTCCTGGCTCAAGAGCAAGTTGAAACGGGCCTTCAAGTCGTCGCCGGCGAACCAAGACTCCCCTTCGAAGGCCTCCAAGCACCCTCCGCAGGAGGCGCCGGCGCCGCCACCGGCGCCGGTCGCCTCCCCTCCCCCTCTCACGCCGCGCGTCTTCATCGTGCCCAAGGTGCAGGTGACCCCGGCCGGGTCGTCGGCGGGACCCTCGGAGGCCGACGGCGCCGACCAGACGCGGACGGCGGCCAACGCGCGCCGGAAAAAATAGCAGCAGGAGGAGGAGTTTATTCGCTACCTCTTGTACGAATAAATTCCCACTTTGCATGGACACGGCAGTGCTCCCTTTGACGCGCAGTGTACATATTTAAAAAAAAAAATTGCATACAAATTAGAGCGTTATTTCTTATTCTGGCGAGGTCGATCGCAGCATGTGATTTGTATTAATTGACACGTTGGTGGGCTGTGCGGAATAAATTTGCAGAAGAAAACAACACACTTGAATTTGTAATGCGCCCGGATAATTTGCTCTTGTGTCGGAAATTCAAAGTGTGAAAGAAGATTTTATTTGATTAAATTTCATTGATTTTCCTTTCAAAATTGGCTGTTATACGGGTTTATATATAATTGCTACAGCTTTGAATTTTTTATTAAGCGTGGATATTTTTTGTACGGATGATTTGATTGAATAAGGGTGACACAGTAAAGCAGGCGCCCTTGCATAATGTATTCCCCGTGTGTGCAGGAACTGATAAGGACGGGAGGGGGGTGGTGTGATAAGCCAGGAATAGATATTAATTATTGCTGTCGTTTCAAGTCAACAAACTGTATATATACCAGCACCTCCGATGCACCGACAAAAATATGTCATTCGATCTGTAGCAGCACTTTACGAAAACCTTTTCTACCCTTAAGCAAGAAACACCAAAAATGTGTCAAATTGATAAAGATTTAATCTAAATAAGCGCAGCTTTTATTTTTGTGAATATTAAATTTGCAGAAATTTGAAACAGTCAAAGCTTTGTGCAGCTTTTGTTCCAGTCTTTGCTTTGGAGGAACTCAAAGTGGTCGACTTGGATAAGCTTTGATCTATTAAGAATAAAAATGGAATCATTTTTTTGTTTCCTAACAATATTGTGTCTTGCTCCAGTTTCATTTAAGATCAAAGACGTTACAGTTGCAATATCAAAAATGAGACAAGCAGAAAGAACACCACCAAGATCTACTGAAATCACCAAAATAATTTTCTGATGCATTTTTATACACCTGCTGGTTTTTCAATATTTGACGCTTGTTGGCTACAGACACAACTCTGCACTTTTGTCACTAGATGTTGTAAATTTGTCTTCCTTCTCTGATTTAATTAAATCTATGGCCAATGTGATTAAAATATACACGAATCAAGGTTACAAGTTGCATATTTGCTTTTATTTATGTAATCCTTTCTCATAAAATTTTTTTTAACAATTTCTGCCTGTCGCAGATTTTCATATACTTAAGGGAATGATCTAAGTTTAGGCCCACATTGTCTAATTAAATGTGCGGTGAACGATTCCAGCACCAACTCTTGTGTCCCAGGAAGACAATTAATTTGTGCAATTTTCAAAAACATTAAAGAATTGATGCCGGAGTCTCACTTGCTTAAAGAACATTCAGGTCACCAAAGTTGTCATCAACAATAAAATAAATGAGTACAAAATTAATCAACCATACAAAAATTCAGATTTCATCTCCAACATAAACAAGTACATAAAAATATATCTGTGACAATTGGTTTGATTGAAAAAGTGGTTAAATATTCCATTGTTCATGCATAAATTTGGCCTGCTTGATTAGTCAGAAGGAACTATCACAGAATAGAACCTGCAGATCTCAGTCAGTGAAGAGAATTAATCGACAGACTTTTTGTTCTTGGCCGTTCGCTTTGATCGCATCTTGGACAGAACCTCATACGCCTGCTGGATTTCCATGAATCTCTCCTGCGCTTTCCTCCGTTCGTTCTCGTCCTTGACCTTGTCTGGATGGAATTCCTTGGACAGGGCACGCCACTTGGCAGTGATCTCCGACTGTGTCGCCGTCTGGCCAACCCCCAGCACCTGTGCAAAAAAAATTCGTTAAAAAAATTTCAAACAAAAATCAAACTATTTTCAAACCTTGTGAGCATTGATTTCTCCGTGCGGATCGGACAAGTCTATTATTTGCTTCCAGACTTCGGCCCAACCGTGGTGCTGAGCAAAGGTCCAGGTGTCAACCAATGACTGTTTCAGATCCACCCACCATGGGGATGTGAAGAAGTGGTTGACGGCGTCCTGGAACTTGACCTCGTCACCTTCGCTGTCAGTGAGTTTGGCGTTGAAGTACAGATAGCTCGAGAAGAGGCCAAGGTAGAGCACGACGCACACACTCAGCACCAAAACTCTCCTGAAAAAGTAAGAAAATTATTCAAAATTCACATCGAATTATATTCTAAAGATCCTAATAAAGGAAAAAATGTTTCCTATCAATGTTTGTCAAAATAATTTAATATTGTCACACAAATTTGTAACATTTTTACAGTTTATTTAAGTAAATTTTATTCATTTTTGTCCAAAGCTAAAAAAAAATTTTTAGAGCAACCCCTCAGGTTCTTATTGCCAAAATTGATTATAAAATCTCTGTTGGTTCATTAAAGTTGAAGAAACTTTAATTTTGTATTTTATTTTCAATAAAAAAAAAAACAATATTTGGAATTTGGCAATTATTAAATTAAAAATATTTCATAAAAATTTGGAAATTTTAGGCACAAATTCAAATTCATGAACAGAATCTGCAAATATTCCGTACTTCTTTGTGGAAGATTTCTTTGGGTAGGTTCGTTTCCACTGCTTGGCCAGAGCGTCGAAGGCGAAAGCACTGCAGAAAGTCATGGCTGTGAACCAGTTTGAGTCGTCCCACATCCAGAGGACAGGAGTTGTGGCGAAGGCGATTCCCAGAGGCCACCAAATCGAGCCCTGCTCGCGGCCAACGTTTCCGACGGCCCAAACGCCTAAAAATGAGAATTTTTTTTAATTGAGCCAAACATAAATGGAAACTCTTACCAAGAGCGCATGGAATCGGTGTGAGGTACAGAAGAGGACGGAAGTTGATTCCGAAAACTTCGTCTTCGGGAATGGCCATCCAGAAGATGCTGGACCAGATGTACGACACCAGCACACTGCTCATGAATCGGATGCTTGAGAATGGAGGCTGAAATTTTTTGTTAAATTTAAAATTCAAAGTTCAGTACAAATATTAATTTATCATTTCTTTATAAAGTTGGCATACTGCATAGTATACAATTTGGGAATAATATTACAAAAGAATAAAATGGAAAATTTTAGGGTCATTTAAGTCATTTTATTTGCAGATATTAGCACTTTGGCCCTCTTTCTATGGCTGCGCATTGTACCAACAGTGAGATTGACTTCAAAATAAAATGTTTCACTTTTAATTTTACAGCAAGAAGTGCTCTTTTCAGCTCAGGAAAGGGCTTGTGGGCCACACAACTGAACCCTTTGCCATTTTTTTCTTTAAAAAAGAAGCGCCCAAATAATTAATTCTTGGTTCGCTTCAAATATAAGATCAGGAATACGAAGCAAAATCGGAATAAATGTGCTTTTCACTGTTTAAATTTACTTAAATTTTTAATTATCGTGGTCATAGAAAGAACATGTTTATGATAATTGTGGATCTCAATCATTCCACAAAACAGATTCACTGACAATTTTTAGATTTTAATATAAATTTTTCAGTTTTTCAATTTCAGTCAATTAAATGTACCATAATTCCGTACCATCAAATGTTAATTTTTGATTTAAATTGATTATGTAAGGTTCAAACGAATATATATTGAATTGAGATGAAATTGCATTTTGATAATTCATCAAAACGAGTAAAAACAATTTAATAAAATTAAATAATAAGTTAAAATTATTAAATAATGAAAATTAAAATTTTATAAAAATTTATTTAATAAGTCCACATTATTTAATATTGTTATTAAATAAAATGACAAAATTAATAACGTATTCATTGAATTCAAGAAAAAATAAGCATTTTATTATTAAGTTTGATGGAATTAACCGGAATTAACTTTAATAAAATGCCACCACGTAATGCACAATTTGCAGTCGAGCCATTCACAGCCGGCCTAGTGTAAATTAACGGTACCCGCGTCACGCTCAACGTGCGCGTTCATAAATGAAAGGTCAATTGATGATTAAAATTAAAGTTTAAAAATAAAAATTAATGAACCTTTTCGTTGGTCTTGAGCCTCTCGATGAACTTCTTCATGTACTGCTCGTCCTCATTGCAGTCGGCGACGTACTCGGGGATGCGGACGAGGTCCCTGAGCCAGCCGACGCCGAAGTAGCCGCCCACGGTGGACCAGGTGAGGAAGGCCTGCAGGTCCCTCCGCAGGTACAGGTGGTGCAGACCGAACCATCCCCCCAGCAGCCACAGCACGTACGTCACCAACACGCTCTTCGCCTCGGCCATCAGGGCTGCATCAGATCTGGTGCAACCTGGTCGGTGTCAGGGTCAACGACTTGGCGAACAAGACGAGGCACGATCACAGAAACCTCGAAGGATGTTATCCCGTTGTTTACCTTTCGATGCTCTTGGAGGAACGCGCCTCTCGCGGCAGCAATGCGAACCCACCCGACCGGCGCAAATCTTCTCTCGATGCGCTTTTATTCTGTTTTTGATTAAAAAATAAAATTGCCTTCGTATTTAATTTAAAATGCATAATAATACTTTCAATTTTTCAAAATCCATCGGTTCCTCTTTGATATTTTAACAGAATCTTAAATTTAAAAAATAATTATTAAGTACATCAATTCTTTTGATATAAAAAAAAAATAATAATATTCGGCCTTATTTAGCTTATTTAGTCCAAAAAAATTTTTATTTATAATTTTTAATAAAATGAAAAAAAAACAAGAACAATGATTAAAAAATGAAAGGTACAGCTTGGCAAATTAAAGTTCTAGGGATTTTTAAAGGTGCAGATGGCCGCGACGACTTTTCAGTGACCTTGTAATGTTATTCATATGCCCAAGGTCGCCTTGAGTCGCAACGATCAGCCCCTAGGTGGCAGCACCTGTGTGTTACCTACCTGGAATTCCTGGAAAAAAGTTGTTGACGTAGGGAGTCGGGAGCCGGCGTATTTCTTTGAGGAAAAGAAACGGAAAAGATGGTTCGCGGCGGTCGCGGCCCGCGGCCGCACTCTTGTTGCTCGGCGTGTCCACGGACAATTCGCGCGGATGCGGCCAAATTGGCTCTGCTGAAAATCGGCCGTCATCTCGGAGGTTATGTAAGTTGATTGTCCCAAGTTTGAATTTTTGGGAATGTATTTGGTGACGATTTTCGAAAACGGATTCTCCAGCGACAATTCTCCACCGCTGGAGAGAATCGTTGCGAGATTTATTTTGAAAATCGTTGCATAAATTGATTCTCAAGCAAAATTCTTGCATTCTCAATCAGGAAGTCTTGTGCAACGATTTTCGATCCCGAAAAGAAAATCGACGCCAAGAATTCTTGTTCTAGAATCTTTGCGGAAATTATTCTTGCTCCAAAATCTTTCCGTGAATTCTTGCATGAGAACTGTTTGAAAATCGTTTGCCTGATTTGAATTTATTCAATTCTCATGAAAGCAAAGATTCTGGAGCAAGAATTTCCTCGAAGATTCTAAAACAAGAATTCTTGGCGTCGATTCTCTTCTGGGATGGAGAATAGTTGGTTGCACAAAAATTTCTGCTTAAGTGTCTGTGCAAGAAATTGTGCCTGAGAATTTCGATTTGTGCAACGATTTTCTGCAGCGGTGGGAAATCGTTGCACAGCAATCCAATTTTGAATGTTTTTTGAGCCAATCGATTCTCTAACATTCGGCCGCAGACTTTTTTTTGTATTTAATTCATGCACATTAAAAGTTTCTAATTTCAAATCAATTTTTTGCAGAACGTGCAACACTCAAGACGAGCCCCCGTGCAAGATGCGGAAGGTGGACGTGCTGCTCGGCCAAGAGGACGAATTTCCCAAGGAGATGCATCCCAAGGTCCGCACTCCGGACAAACAGCCAGAGACTGAATCTCCTGAGGAGATGGAATCTTCGAGCGGCAACAAGAAGGCTAAGGCCAAATCTCCCGAGGAGATGCACCCCACGAACGGCACTCCGGACAAAAAGGCTGAGACTGAATCTCCTGAGGAAGTTGATATTTTGAACTGCTCTGCTGAGGAGCCTGCTAACTCATCCACTGCTGTCACTGCCAGTCTGCCGGACACCCAGCACTCCCTCGACCAAGAGGAACAAGCAGGTCAAGCCCAAGGTCACCCAGCTGCCTTTCAGACCAAAACTCCAATGCCTCTTGAGGTTTGCTACAATTTTACTCATTTTACGTAGCTAATTGATATAAGAAAACGTTTAAATTGGCAGATTTAATAAGTTCCTTTTTGAAAACTGAAACGATTGTGTTTAATCATTTCAACATTTATGCTAAGAGTTTATATTTATTCAAAATTAGTGAGGAGCTCATGGCAATCACAATGCAAATAAATTTACTGGCACAAAATTTACTTTTCTCAAGATCATTGAAAATTGAGGAAAATTGTTAATTTGTGATTTAAATTGATGCCTTATTAAGCCAACTTAACTAGGGTAAATTGAACTTTACATCGGCTAGTGTAAAGATAAACTCTGCGTTCGCAAAATTGTATTAAATTCAGAAACTTTTGCCCCAAAATCAATAGTATTTAGTAGTGGCAGTATTGATAGAAGCGCGCGCCTGGTTGGCGGCAAAAGGGCGGAGGGACCCCCTTCCTTGCCTGATCTCTCTGCATTTCAGCGGCAAAGTCCGTAACTCTAAAAATTCTCTAAGTCCGATCACTCGGAGAGTACCCAAGTTAACACTAGTACATTATCCGCGCGTGGGTGTTCTGAGTAGTTACCCTGTACTTGGTGCTTCCTGGTGGCCCGTTGAAATCAGAACTTCGTGCGAAAACTCGAGTTTTATTCCCCCTTATGGAGATGCTTGTGAATAGTGTGCCGGCCGCTTCGCCCTTGCTTCTCAGCTCTTGCTCACGGCCGAGACCGCAAAATAGCAAAGTGGTGCTGATCGATGCGACCCCAGGTCATGACCTTGGGCATATGAATAACATTATAAGGTCACTAAAAAGTCGTCGCGGCGATCTGCACCCTGGAAGCCGAATTGCGCGTGTCGCGTGATAATGAGAGCAAAGGGAGCCTCAGAATCAATGTTTTGTCTTCATCTTCACTTCACCAGAGAAAACGCGGGACTCTAAAATGTATTGCTTGCTTAACCCTTTTATTAAAAAACAGCGCATTTTAAAATATTACCAAGAAGTGTGTCACCCGCGTGACACGTTTGCAACTCCGGTTGCCTATCCATTAATTTATAGATATATGTATACAATTCGGCAGAAAGATAAACTGGCTGAAAAACCCTTTATTTTAATTTTAGCCAGAAGATTTTTAATTACACTATAAAATTGAAACCCTCTTTTATTTAAATTTTAACTAAAGATATTATTATTATTATTTTAAAATTGGAAAGTCTCTTAACCATTTAACAGGATGTTTTTATTTCTCAAAAATGCATCCAGGGGATGCAGGTTAAAGGTTGAAGTACTGTCATTTTGCACAATGGAGCCCACCCTTAAGGGTCGGCGCCTCTGCGCTCAATTTCTCGGCGCCGAGGAAGAAGCTCATTTCCCTAAGCAGTGCAACCGCAGAACTTTTCTTTCTTAATTTTTTATTTAATATTATTTTTAATAATTACTTTTAACTTGACCCGAATTCGATGAATGCCCCTAAATGGATCCCAATTTTTTTGGAGGGAAAATTGTTTTGAAGTATTTATTTTCCTTTTTAAATTATTATTTTTTTAACGCATAGAATGTGCGACAAACAAGACGAGCCCCCATGCAAGATGCTCGGCTAAGAGGACAAACAGGGCAAAGCTGAATCTCCTGAGGAAATCGATATTTTGAACCGCTCTGCTGAGGAGGCTGCAAACTCATCTGCTGCCCTGGCTATAACCTCCGCTGCTGTGGAGGCCCCAAACTCTGCTGCTGCCGTGGCTCGCTCCTCCGCTGCTGAGGAGGCTTTCAACTCTGCTGCTGCCCTTGGTAGCACCTCTACTGCTCTGGCGACCAACCCCATCTCTGCAGCTCCAATTCGTCCAACGCTGGAGCAAATCCCTCTGAAGAGCAACCTGAAGCGTGCCGGGAACGCGTTCCAGCTCTTTGCGGCCTTCAAGCGGTCTTTGGGCTCTAAGCTTTCTAATGCAGAACTGGCACAGGAATATGATAACTTGGACGACGAGACTTTGGAGCACTTCTTCTATTTATTCCGTGAAGAAAAAGAAAATTTCCATTGAATTCTATACAGTGTTAATTAAAGTTAATTAATTCGACTGAATGTGTTTAAAGTAATATATTTATACTTAAAACAATATTGTAATTGAGTGCAAAACATGAAAATTTAAAATTTTTAAGAGACAATATGGTAATTTTCGTTTTGTCGTTAATAATAATAAAAATAATTCACAGTTCATGAAAGACTTTTACTTCAAAAATTGATTGATTGATTGATGATGCAATCTAATCTTGTTGTCAACATTAAATATTCGTGGTTTTTATGTACTATACTACATTAGATTGCTATTACTAGCTTATTTAGTAAAATGATGTTTGTTCACGACAATGGAATCCACCTTTTGCAATTATTGCAAAAAGATTTTAAATTTTAACCACCATAACTAAATTGACTTTGCGTATCAGAAAACTTTAATGCTGTAATATTGCCAAATATTTCGCACTTCCTGCGATATTGTATCAATCTATTTTATTATCATTTATTTGTTGAACGCACAATAATGTTTTATGTAGCTGTTTGACTCAAATGCAGTACTGAATTATGTCAGTTATTATTATTACTTGTCAGTTGTTTATATTTATCAAGGCACAAAAATATACTGAGCTTGCTAGGCCCTTTGCATTTGGATTCAAGGCTTTATGCCTCTGCAACAGACGAAGCAATTGAACGCCGTCGACATTTACAAGTATCTTATGGCTGAGCAAAGAGGCGTAGAACCAGGCGGTGGCGGCCGGGTGCCTCGTCCGGGCGCTGCCCTTGAGTCTGGTGACGCCGCAGGCTGGCATACTGGACCAGCACTCGGTCACCCTCCATCGACAGCCAGCAGGGCTCACTGCAGCACCACACGACCGCCACCACTCACTTCGTCGCTACAAAAAGGTCTTAGGAGAAGACCTACCGCGAGAGCTCCAGTCCCAGAGGCACTTCCCCGACAGCAGAAGATCTCCGCTCTCCCCCAAAGAGTCCAAAGAGCTCATTCCGCGCGCGAATTAACTTCGGCAAAATTAACTTTTCTGCTCCAGGAGTCGGCAGCATAGCCGGTCGGGTCTAGGAAAACGGTGGTTCCTTTTTTAAGTTAATAAAATTAACATGGTCTACGTTTCACAAGGAGCAAAATTTCAGCGTCTCTCGGAGAGAATTTTCAATAAGCATATCAGGGAAAGCAGTGCGTATCTAATTGATTTCTGTGATCATTGAATAGACGATTGGTCTATAGACCCCTTTGAAGAAAATGATAAAAAAAATGAGCCTTCGCATTTGCCTATAGAGGTTTAATTTTTAAATTGAGATTAATAGACCGTTTTTATTTCATTAACACCTCTAAAAGAAGAATAATAACATCATTTACTTAAAGAAAAATATACTTATTTATGCATTTGGGATTCTCTACAATAATTCGCCACTAAATATTGCACAAATTGCTGCCGAGTGTTTCTGGTTGAAACATAATAATTGCCAAAAAATTATTAATAAAACAGAACATGTCATTTACCCTTTTAATATGAAAATATATTAGAAATAAAAACAACCCTCTTTATTATGAACTGTAAAATTGTCCTTTGAAATCAATTTTTTTTTATTAATTTTTTTAGGGTCTGGCCCAGACATAGTCTTGTCGGCCAGTGCCCTTTATTAGGTGCAGAAGGCATCACCCAATTTATTTTTATTTTGGGGTTCAACTTTATTATAAAATCTACATTTTTTTCTGGCATATCCTTAATTTTGGTCCATATGATGATGACTAACAAAGCTGAAAACTGAAAAATAGAGAAAAAGATTAGGTTGGGGAAGGTCAGTTTTTTTTTTTTTTAGGTGTTGACAGGATTTTATCTGCGTATTTTGTGTTAATTTATTTGTGTTTATTTTTATTTGTGCTGCAAAGTAAAATAGACTTGGTAGATATACTTTGCAGTTAATTGTTAAAATAAGGATAATTCCCGAGGTTTTTTCCACGGTTGAACTTAATTGTTTGCCTTTTTTCCTTGCACACCGGGAACCAGCGTGGAAGACCAATTGGTGCGCGCGTTAATGGGGGTTATTTATTGTGGGTGATCTGGCGGCCGAGCAGATGAAAACGTGCGCACGGGGCGCGCGCCTGCATCCACTCTCGAGCATCCATCTGCGATCCGAGTATAAATATGTAATCGCCGCTTCCTCCTAAACATCCTGCGCGGGCGTCGCATGCCGACGAGAGCCGCGGTGGAGCATTTAATTCACAGCTGGCAGCAAATGGCACTCTTTGTGGTCGCTGAAAACGATCGCCTTTTAAAAGTAAAAGATTTTGGCACCAAAAAAATCACTGTAGCTGGAAATTATCTTTATTGGTTGGTAATTTTAAAAAGTTAATAAATAAAATTTTAATTATGTTTCTGAAAATAATAAAATTTTTAGCTTATTTACCAAAATTTCCTTCATTTAGTTGAAGAAGAAAGAATATTTTTTCATAAAATATGAGATGATAAAATCACGTCTTCTTGCTGTAAAATAATTTTCACTTTTTTTTTTAAATTATGAAAAAATACCTCGATTTCTTGGTGGTGCTATTTAAAAGTTGTCGTCCTTCAACCGCACCAAAAACCAAACGAGCGGAAGCAGCACCGGTGCACTTGACTGCAGAGAACCAGACACACATCCGACTGACTCACATTAGGTGATCATCCTCCTAGTTTTTTGCTCGGACCATATATTGCTCCTCTAGGCCACATGTTGATGATGAAACGGTAGCGCGCGCTTAATGCAGTTAGCACGAATTCCACAGGAAGTCAACTGTGCTAGGGTGAAATCCTTATTTAATATATTATTTCAGTCCAGTCTACCTTTAAAAGCTTTACCTTTTTAAAAGACCTTCCAAACTTCACCATTCAATCAAAAACTAAATAAAATCATCAATTCGTCTTTTTTTTTAAATGTTGGGATTTTAAAATTATCATCACTATTGCTTTTTTTGTAATTAAACTGTAGTTTCATAATTTAATCAATGTAAATTTAAAAAAAAATATATATATTTTCCTGGAGGAATATACATTATAGGAGAAGGAAGTTGGAGCTCACCTTTCTAATTCCTCTCTGCTCGAGCTAGTGGTGGGAAAATATCGCTCCGTATTTAGAGAGTATTGGCCTCAAAGGGGTGCTGTGAGATCATCAGCATCCACATGCCCGCGATTATTAATAAGCGTGCACGTTTAGCCAGTATTTCCGCTTCCTGCTTAATTACGTTCACACCACCCTCTCAAATCTTCTTCCTTTGGTACTCCCACGAAAACATTTCTAACATTTCTAATCATTCAAGAACTTTTAACATTTATAAATAATAAATAACATTTACTAATAAAAAAAAAATTTACCTATATTTTTAAATTTTATTCAATTATTTTTTTGTACCAAACATTCATATCAATTTTCTTTAAAATAATTCATAATTTTATATTAAAAATTTTATTTTATTTAATTAAATTGTTTAACAAAGATATGAGACACGTTGACTGTTGTTGAAAATTTTCTATTTTTTTTTAAATAATTATAAATATATTTCACATCTTCAATATTCATTAGTGAATAATTAAATCAAGAATTTATTAAACAAGATCATCTTCTTTCGTGTCCATGATATATCATTAATTAAAAACAACTACAACTCGTTAATAGTTAAATAGCACAAAACTAAAAAATAATGAAAGGTCAAAGAGGAAATGCTTGCGAAAATTAAACGAAACGAGCAGCCAAGTGATTCACCGTCTACGAATCATCGCATATGAGCTCTTGCTCTGCCAAATTTTGTAACCAAAAGAAAAAAATTATTTATACATTGCAAAAACTTATTCTATTAATTGCAAGATATTTAATAATGAATTGAAATATAATAACAAATATGTGAAATTTATTAAAAGAGAAATGTTTTTCCTTTTTAGTGAAATCTGGGGAGAAATTAACAATCAAATATATTTTAAATGCTTTAAATACACGCAGATGGGTGAAAGACAAAAATAATTATGCAAAAGCGCAACAGCTGCTCTTGCTCTCATGGGGACAAATGAAAGGGGCGAGCTCGATTCTTTCCTCGTTCGCGTCTCGGACCAAAATAAAGTTAAAATGTGCACTTGCAAGCGGCGGCAACAAGTTCATCTCTCTCTCGGAACACGTGGCCGACGGCCGCCGTCTCGGTGAACAGGGCAAGTCCCCTGCGTGTCTCCGGGGCACAAAAGTGCAGCTGCACCCCGTTCATTTACAACCCCCGCCGTTCAAACAGAGGCACGTGCCACTAATGGCCTTCTGCAAACTTTGACTTAAAATACCGGCTGCGTCTTCCCTCCTTTCTTGTGTTTTCCTTTCAATGCACGTATCCTCAAATTGGTCCATTTTTAGCGTAAATCCGCAGTCTGGGGCCGGTCTGGCTCGAAACATCTGCAAGGTGCAATGCACACCCCACATTTGCATTGAAAAAATTAAAACTTCTTAAGTATAGAAAGGGAAAATTCAATGAAGCTTATTGTTTTATTGCTGAAAATCATTATTTTGTTTCAACCTCCGCTTTAATTATTTTTCTAATGTACAATATTTTAAAATTTTTGTGAATTATTAAAAAGAATATTCATTGCATATAACTTTAAGTAAATAAATTTAAAGTAAATGATAATAAAAGTTACAATTTATTTTGTTGCTTATTGAAATATCGTCAGAATTTTTTTATGAAAATGACAAATTTGTCACAATTATTAATGATAGAATATTTTCTGTTTGGGAAGATGGAAGAAAATCCAAATATAGAAAAATTATTATTATGTTATTTTACACTTTTTTTTTTTTTGTATTTGCTTGTTTTCAAAGCTATTAAAATCCGCAGTAGAGAAATCTGCAGCAGGAAAAGGCCAAAAATAGATAATGATTCCTCACTTCTTTCCGCCATCGCTTAGGAATTCCCAGCAATTGCTGAAATTTTTTCTTAGTGATCGCGTTTTTGGCAATTTAAAACTGCGCTTTATAAATTTAATTCATCGCAATTCAACAATTTTTTTATTTAGTAATTTCAACATGGAACTTTGTTATTTTTATTATAATTTCAATTTGGAATTGAGGACTTCTTGGAGAAAATAATATAAAATCATTTTAAAATCATTTTTGAATTGGCATCTCACAATTATAGCATAAGATAATATAATTATATAGCTTCAAAAAGTGACGCGCGTTATCTAAATATCTGATTGAGGCTTTTTATATCGTCAATCCTCAGCCTAAATAGAGGGAGATCGGCTCTTCCGACAACGTGAAGCAACAACATCCTTATCGCTAATTTTCAGAATCAAAAATTAATTTGGAAATATATAATTGCACTCTTGTAAATGAAAAACATATCCGAGAAACTTTTGACCAACAACAATTCTAAGAAAAATCCTCACTCAACTCATTTCTGATTCTCATGGGCGGCGCGGTTGATTAGATAACAAAGGTGTCGCACGTTCGCCTCTACGTTATCTCATGTATATTAAACTGAACAAACCACTCTGTTGTCAAATTATTCAGCTCATTTAATTCCAGCTTTCTGTGATTGCCACGATGGGATTGGAGGAATTTAAAATTTTGTTCGACAACCCGATGGCTGCTTACTTTGCAGGACAGACCGTGTCTGGAAGGATCGTCATCAGAAATGAAAAGCCGGAAAAATATCGAGGTTTGAAGACGATTTTTATTTTCTTTAACAACAAAAGGAGTTTGCGATTAGAAAAATTAAATATTTTAAAGAACGAGATCTTGAAGCAAAAATGTTTTTATTTTATTCATTTTAACGTAATAGTGCATAATGAATTATAACTAAAAAAAAAAAGTACAATTCTCATTGTGGCATTTTATTTTACCACTTTGAAGCAATCATATTGAAGTTGGCCGGAGAAGCAAAATGTACATGGAGTCAAGCTGCCGGTCAAAACTCGACTGTTCAATACATAGGCGACGAGACATGTTTTGACCAAACAATTATCCTAGCAGGAGGAAGTAAATCTTAAACATTTGAAATATTTTTCTGAATTAAATTAAATAATATTTAAAAGTAAATACCTCCGTCGACGCCGAAACGCTTGCTCCTGGCGAACACGAGTACACTTTCAGGCTCGATCTTCCCCCTGAAATCCCCTCGTCGTACGAGGGTGTTATCGGGGCTGTCAGGTACTACGTCAGTGTCGTGGTGGAACGACCGTGGAAGTTCGACCACGTAAACATTGCGTTCTTCACCGTCATCGCCCTTGTGGACTTGAACTCCGATCCACTGCTGACGGTAAAATGAAAATATTTCTTTATTTAAAAGGACCAGGCAATTTTAAAATTTTGAAAGTAGACCAAATTTCATGAAAAGCGATACAAAAAATTGCATCCCCTATACTTTGAACCATCGGAAACTCACTTTTCCCTCAAAATGAGGGCTAAAATCACCATTTTTATTTTTGGTTGAAAACAGAATATGCAAATTTCTTAGCATTTTATAATAATATTATCCTCCTCGGAAGTTTTGGCTTAAAATAAAGGTGAAACATGACATTTTAAACGCGTAAGAGTGTATATTTTTTTATTTCTACTTTTTGATTGAAAATTTTCTCCTATCATTTTAAATAAATAAATTCACCGGTGTTTGGTCTTTAAAATTGAAAATGGAATATTTAATTCAGGCACCAGTGAATCAACCAGCGACAAAGACGTTTTCCTGCGGTTCTGGTGCGGCCAGCATTGTCCTTTCTTTGCCGACATCGGGCGCCGTTCCTGGCGAGATCATTGTTCCCACCTTGAAGGTCGAAAACGACTCCAGGGCTGACTTGAATCGCATCAAACTTAGATTAGTGCAGGTAATAAAATATTTTCGATCAAAATTAAAAACTCAAAGTGAAAATTCAAAAAATAGTTCGTCACCTACAAGGTAAAGGACCAGATGAGAATTTTCACCAAGACCGTCGTCAAGGCTAGTCTAGACTCTGTCAAGTCTGGACAGTCAACCACCTTCAATCAGTACGGTCTGAAGATCCCACCTGTGGCGCCCTCAACCCTGAACAAGTGCCAAGTCATCCAGTTGACTTACTACATAATTGTTAATGTTCCCCCTTTAAGCTTGGCCGTAAATAATTTTTATTTTTAAATCTCCAGGCTTCCTTTTCACCATCGGCCTTCTTCAGACGCAAGTTCCACGTCCAAGCTCCTCTGGTGGTGGGAACCGTTCCTCTGCGGAGAAACGTTTTCGCCCTTGGACCCTCAGCACCTGATGCAAACCAGGGTAAGTCCGTCGCTACTTTTCGAGTTTTTTTTATGCGATATTTTATTATAGCTCCTCCATCCTACGAAGAGTGTGCGTTTGGTGGTCCAAACGTTGTCAAGAAAGCCCTCCTTGGGGAGAACTTTAAGCCCAAGTACCCTGTCTACCACGGCTAAAACTCGAGTCGACATGTTTGTGAATAATTTTTTTCTAAATTGCAATTATAAAAACAGTTTCCGGTGATATTTTTCAGTTAAGTATTATCAAAAAATATCAAAAAACAATGTGGACAAATAAACAGCAATAATAATATGTGATTAAAATTACGTAAAAGGCGATTACCCTACCCTATTAATATAATCATGTTATTTCAAGCACATTATTGGGTCACTTTTGCTTCTTATAACTTTACAGTATTTGATTAGAAACTTTTATGAAATAAAATATATTTTTATTAATTTTAATGCAGCACGCAGCAACAAAAAATACAAATAATATACACACGGTAAACAGGATTTTTGTTCTTTACAAACAATTAAGGCTAATTTTGTTTAAATTACATATTATTAATATTTAAATTCTGCGTGTCACCCAAAATACACCTAAGCATTGCTGATTGTCAAGAATTTAAAGTTAAATTAGAAAAAACAAAATTTATTTGTAAGCCATGTTATTTTGGAATTTTAATTATTGAGCTTGAAAATTTTAACTCATAAATGACTAAATTTCTAAATTTCCACCGTCTGTTATTTCTCGGTGCTGTTCAATTATGTCATGGTCTGATTGTATTGTTTTCCTCTTCTAATACGCTCCGCAGACAAAGGGTTATTTTGGGGATTTCGATAATTATGGCTTTAAAAGTGCGGCGCGTGGTGAAAGGGCAACAAAGCAGCGAAAAGTGGCCACTGCTGTGCACGTGACCCCACCCGGCTCGTCTGACGTCTGCCTCGCAGGTGTTCACCACGTGTCCTGCTCGTCCACCCCCTGGACGGTTGTCATTGACGAGTCGTCCTTATTTGGCAACTGTGAACAGAGCCGATGTTTCATTCAGGCACCTAAAAATACATGAATGAAGTGCTCAGTCCACGTCTCTTAACAAGTTCTGCGCAACCCTCTTTACTTTGTTCAAATAAATTGGTTAAAAATAAAAAATTGAGCCGTGGGGATAAATGCATTTTTAGTGTAGCAAAGTCAATAATTAACTTTCAATTTACGTAAGTTGAGTCATCTGTTCGAAAAATAATATAAAAACGTCGAGAAGTTGAATATGTTTTCAAGCTCAAATTATCAAGAATTATCTTTCCTTCTTTTTCCAAAATAAAACTAAAATTTTGTGTTCAATTCGAACAATTTTGGAAGAAAACCTGCATTACTTTATTTCAATATCGTAATGTACGTTTTTAATTAAGAAAAAACAGATTTCTTTTAATATAAATTATTGTGTCAATATGTGAAAAAAGATAGATTGCAATATCTCTTTTCCTGAGAAATTTAAATGCAAATTGAGCCAGCTGGCCTCAGAATGACGTTCATCTTCTAGCTCGACTCCCGTAAAAATTTTCAGTGTTCTCTTTTTCAAAATCCAACCTTGAGCAATTTGTCTCTTCCAAACCTCTTGCCATTGTGTCAATTGGAGCAAACAACGCAGCGGTCTTTCGACTTCCTCATTTTTTCTCTCAAGTTTTTAATTTAATTCAGAACCAATTTTCAAACTTTGGAAGAAAACCAAGCTTACTCTTTTTCTAAATTTTATTCATTGTGTTTCTAGTAAAAATTTTCCAATGAGGTTATTATATAATTGTGTCTCACTTAATAATATAGCTTTAATTGCTCAATGAGTCCCTTCAATTTAATTTTTAAAACCCACTCTATATGTTTATAATATTATTTTACATAGCTTATTTTTCTTTCTAGTGTAATTAACTTCTCTCACTCTTGATGGTGACTTGATTTGAAGAAAAAAACTTTAAAAAATGTACTATATTATCGAATTATTTTATACTTTTTATAACTAGAGGCAAATATTATTAAAAACTTTACTTTACTATACCTGTAAATTGCAATATTATAGTAAATTTTTATTTCTCACAGTAAGATTATCATTGAATGTTCCTTAATTTGCCCTAATTACCAACATTTGATCAAGAATAATGATATAAACTAGATTTAGAGAGAGAGAAAATCATCTTAATAATGCATTGTTGCCAACGGATTGCGGCGACGGCGACTAAAAAGGGCTGCGATTGGATGTGGGAACGTGTGTTGGCTGCTCGCAGCCACCAGTTGGTCTGCAACCTGCCCTCCCGGCTCCGCGTCTTCCTCTTCGCATCCACCCCACCTCGCGCGAGGGAGACTTTATTTAACGCTCTTTGCATCGCGCAGCCGGCGCTGGCTCACTCAGTCGGGCTTTGTCTGCTATCTCGCCACCATCTGCACCAGCAGCGCAGAGATATGCCGCGGGCCTTTCTCATCACGCACCGCAGGTACAACAACCACCCTGTCGAACAGAAAGGTAGGCTTTGAACAGATTTAAATAATCTCAAATAATTTTGGGCAAATGCCAGACTTTTGCCAAGGCCGCTTGCAGCATTCGCCGACACACTTGTTGCTTTTGCTCGCGGAAGGAAAACAATAATTTATTTTCCTTTCGAGAAATAGGAAATGGTTTTAAACTTTTAACTTTTCTTGTGTTTTCACCTTTTCTTCTCTTACAATATTTGATGCAACCGGCTTGAGCGGGGCGCCGAGCGGGTGGCCGACTTTTTGTCTTGCAGGCGCAGTCCATGCTTTGTCTCGCCTACGTTGCTTCCCAAGCATTGATATCACGTCTCAGTTTCACTTTTTCCATTCATCATTTGTCTAGAAATTCTCGCAGACGTCATTGGAACAATTTTTTGTCATGGGTCATTCTTATTCAAACGATTTAAAACATATTTTTCAAAATATTTTGCATTTTACTTTATAGTTAATTGAGCAATGTTTAAAAATATTATTATTGAAGAACTTTTGCAGAAAATAAGGGAAGACAAAGCTAGACATAAGTACTCAGAAAATTTTCCTCAAAAATAAAAATAAAAACATCCTCTTGTAATAAATAATAAATCATTTAATGATGTAAATCAAAAAAAGAGATTTCTTCATTTAAATTTAAGCAAAATTAATGCTTATTTCGCAGATAATAAAGCAAAATTTTAAATTTAATCCCTGTTTAATTGATTTCTTCCCTCTAGCAAGTTCTATTTTTCAAGAGAGTGTGCACGATTTTAATGATCAAACATGACACATAATTTGAAATCTTTATACAGAAATACCCCCATTCAAATTTCCGCAAATTTCAAATAAGTAATAAGTTCAATACCTTTCGATGTGTTGCGATCACATTTTTTGTCAAAATCTTTGCATCAACTGAAAATTAAAACCTAACAGAAAATGCTCATATCATTTTTTTATTACCAATAAAACGCAATTAAAAAGCAGATTTTGAATTTTTTTGACAATTTTTTTTATTAATTTTTGTAGTGAAGCTCACAAGAAACTGACATGCTGCAGAGAATTTTTTAATAATAGGAATGGTGAACTGAAAATTAAAGTCGTTCAAGAAGTGCAGACTTTGTTGGTTAAAATAAGAGTATGATAAACGTGTATGAACTTTCATCCTGCACCTTAGCTGGAATTGTGCTGACAAAAGGAACATAATATTTTTCAGGGTCTCAGAACTTGAACCCTGAATAGCTTTAACCTTTAACTCTCAAAACCAGAACTATTTTTTTTTTATTCTTTTGAATGACAATTGTTTAAATTTTTATTTAGCGCTAGTAAAAGTAAATTGGGTTTACAACTGCAATTCAAAATATCATCGGCAGTCTCAGCATTTTTAAAAATAATTTATGAATGCAATTCTAAATATAAAAGGCGATTGTCAGTTTAACTCAGAAATGAAAAATCGTGTGTCTCGTCTCTCATCTCGTAAAAGTAAATGATCGCTGTGCCTCTTTGAATGAGCCCCACACGCTCGCCTCGTCGGATTTCCTCTGGGGGAAGCGCCCGGCGCGATTTCAAGCAAGGGCGCAACACAGCACCCCTTTCAAAAGCGCGCAACACCTTGACAGGACGTGCTCGTGTGGTGTGCGCGCCATTTATTTTTCCTTCCAGAGCTGAATTTTCGTGGCGGCGAGAGTGAAATTCGGGGGGCTAAAGCTGACGTCATGCAAATGCGCCGTCCATGTGCCACATGTAAATCTCCTCCGAAGCACGGGGCACATTTCGTGACACGCGTGCCTCTCGCTATTCGACTCCATGCGATTATTTTTAGATAAGCACACACACCAGTCGCGCGCCGCGTTCGCCTGCAGCACAAGAGCAAATTAAAAATTGGGGGGAAAACGAGCCCCGAGGGGTGCCCTGCACACTTCTCTTGTCATCGGCGGCTCTTAGTGAGAGACACTTGAAAAACATTCAAAATAAGGCGGCCCAAAATGGATTGCATCCACTTGTGGATAGACTCGTGGAAATGATACTCCTCTTAAAAATTTTTCTAAATAGGTCTTTAGTAAATTAATAAAAAAATTAATATATTTCAGTGCTTAATTGATTTGATATTAATGTTAGGTTATTTACTTCAGGATTTGTGGAAATTTACACTTCATAATATTAAAAACTTAATATTTCGTAAATAATTTTGCATAGTTAAAAATATATTTAAACAATTTTAAAATTTAAACAGTTACATCAAATGTTAATTTAATACTTTATTTTAAATTGTAAATAAAACGTATTTAAATTATTTTAAATATTTAATACAATTATTTTGGATATTTCTGATGATATGTTCATTGGCGAGCTTTATCAAAAATTGTAAAGAGAAGCAAAATTTTAATTAAACAATGTTACAAAATTTACACGCTACATATTTGAAAATAGGTATTTAACAATAATTAATATTTGATTCTTCTGATCTTCTCCCCCTTTTCTGAATGCCGGACCATATTATGTATAATTTTGAATTCAACTTTGAAAATTCGTTCACATCTCTGATCTTCATATTTGAAACCCACTTAACTGAATTTCTCTGAAGGAAGCTGGCGGAAACTCGAGTCTAAATTTAGCTCTCGGTCTCGCATTATTTGAGGAATCCCAGCGTTGCGCGCATATAATCGAGTGAACGACACCACTTCGCTCGTGTTTTAATGTCTAGAATAACAAATGCCATAGCCTTACTTTTTTCGTGCAGCGCGCTTTATCGCCTGCCGATGCGTTTGACGCCCGCACCACCGCTTTTATTGCACTTTTCCCAGCGCCTAAGTGACTCTCAGCAAGGGCTGCGAGCGCCCCATAAAAAGCACCGAAATTTCGAATATTAAGCGGCTCTCGCAGGGGTGTCTCTTTCTTTACAACGTGGCGCGGCACACGATTTTTCACGCGGCGTAAAATCCTTGGCTGCGAAACTAATTATTTCTAGAGAGATTAGACGAAGGCATGACACTTACAGGGGAGAAAGGATCGCGAGGACAACATTTTCGGAGCGTGAGTCAAAACATTTTTAATCTAACGAGGTCAGAGAGCAATTATTTTTATAAATTTTACTATTATTTTATCTTTCCTGAATTTATGAAAAAATAATAAATTCAAAAAAATTTAGTTTTCATTTGACTTTTACTCTAGTTTTTTGTTAGAGATATTTAGAAACATGATTTATGAAAGAATATATGGAGTTTTCAAAATAAATTCTCTTTAAGATTTTGAAAAATTTCGTATCTTCGTTACAAATCTTGTCTATGACAGAAAATTTATTTTTAATTTCTGAAATTTATTCAGGAAAACTTACTCTTTCTATAACAAATAATAAATCAAAATTATAATGTGGATAGATATTAAAATTTAACTCGGGCCAAGTCAAAATTCTTGCCATTGTCTCTAGGGACCTAATTTTTCTTTAAAAAATATAAACTTAAAGCAACTAATATTTAAAATTTTTGAAATCATTTATTATACTACAAACGCATTTTTAAATGTTTTTACTTTATTAATAAAAATTTTTATAAGTTCAATTTTTTTCAAATTAAAGTAGATTTATTTTATTTAATTCATTTTTTTGTATAGTTATAAGGTTTCAAATTTTAATAAGACAGTAAATAAAACATATAATTTTTTTATATATTGCTCGATTCAAAAGGCTTTAAAAGCTGAAAGATTAAAAATAAATGTGAAAGAGGCAACAATTGGATTTCTAGTTATAATTTTTTTGATTCTTCAACTTCGAATAAGTTAAATATAAAAGAACTGATGAAATAAACAAATCACAAAATCAGGTGCCAGCTTTGAAAAATTTATGCTGCACGGTTCATTAAATTCCCTTGATGAGGCTCATTCATTGCGAGACCGGGCAGGATGAAAATGATGATGAGAGCCGAGCGCGAGTCACAATAATAATGCGCGTCGCGGACCAACAGGTGCAGCGGACAGACTCCAAGTGCCGGCGCGGCACACACCGAGAGAAAGAGCACTCGAGATTGGCGTTCGCGTCCCGAAATATCCATCAGTGGTGCATGGCTCACCAAGGTGTATTTCTGTCCAAGAGGGAAAAGCGACGAGTCAGGTGGCCGACGCCGCCGCCGTCTCATTCCTCCGTACTCGGTGGTCTATTTTGAGGCGCCTCTGCACATGGCTGCCGCGCGCAAGAGTAAAAAAAATACGACGCGACTCATATCTTGATACAAGAAGAAAATCCTGCGGCACTCGCTCGCTGAAATTCATTAGCGCACCAGAGAGAACTGCTGCCGCGCCTATCAAGATGCGGCGGTGCATTTTAATTAAAAATTCGGGAGCCGAGGGAAACGGACTGAGAATCTCAGGCCACGACGCACATGTGCTGCTGAAATTGCTACAAAGATCTCTCCGAAGGGAAGGCCCAAGAGACAGACTTTTGAGCTGAGAAAATCTCTTAATTTTAAGGGTTATCAAGCTGCTCTAAATTTTAATGAGAATTAACAATTATAATATTAAGTGTTACATAAAAACGCAACCCGCACAACAAATAATATTAATTTTTTTAATTTAAAGATTCTTCCTTGCACTTAATCTGAAACATTGTTGAATAATTTTGTTCAAATTTGGTTGATAAAGGGGAAGAATATGATTGTTTTATTTGAATAGGGCAGAAGTTTAGGCTTGAGGTTTTTTTTAATTAATAAATTAAGTGCAATTTATTAAGAACATGTTAATTTTGGACAGTCGTTTCATTGCTAGTTTTAATTCTTGGTCATACTGATGGAAAAAAGTAAGTTAAATATTAAAAACATCTCTTAAAGAAATTATTTTAATTTGTTATTAATTCGCTTTGCGCAATCATTGAATTTTTTTAACAAAATCCAGTTTTCCTAAATTATATTTATTTCAATATTTTATCATTAGCTTGTGTATGATTTGAACTAATCTTAATTTTTTGCAAAACTGGTCTCATCAGAATGAAGTGTATCAACTTTTCTCTCAGCAATTCTCGGTTCTCTCAGAGCTAGAAATTTGCGGTGCGCTCTTTATGGTGTTTATCGGCTGAGGCCACCGGTTAGCGCGAGGGTTGTTTCAAATGGCAGCGGCCCAAAAATGTAGACGCGCTGCCTTATTTTCAATCCACTTGTTGCCCGAGACGCGCAACTTGCTAGATCTTTCGTGGCACTTTGCCCAAAAGCCACCTTGCTAACTCAACAAATTCCAATTAGCTGCCGCGCTTTGGGCTCTGCTCTTGAGAGCGCCTACTGCGCGCCGAATTCACTGAGCACATGTGCTTAATCACGCGTTCTGACGCAATTTCTTGAGTCTATATTAAAATAAATCTAGGTTCGCACTACCTTGAGTTCCTTTATACAAAAATAATTATTTGAATTTTAAAAGTATCAAAAAAAGTTATACTTCGCGTGGAGAGAAAATATTCTCAAACATGACGGTTCGGTCTTGAATTTTGAAACCAGAGCTGTCTGTTTTATTTCAGGAAATGAACAAAACGGAGAAATTTGTTTACACGCGGTTGAGGATTGTTCTGTTATTTTACAATACCTGTGAGGGGATCTGGCGTGTCTTTACCGCATTTTCTAAGAAAGTGCGAACGAACCGGCCGTCTCGTGTCTCGAGGTCGAAATTCCCAAAGTTTATATCAAGTTCTATTTTTATGCCTAAGATGTAAACTAATGAGAAATTCCTGCCGCGCGCATAGCTTTCCTCTGTGAAGTCGCGGCTGCAGCCGGTGGTCGTTTTTGTTTTAACTTCAAAGAACGCTGTTTTTATGACAGACACACGCCGAAGGCTCCATTTTTTACATCATTGTTTTAAAATATTAAATTTCATCAAAAATTGTTGCAGAGTGCAGCCCCGAACGAACTGTCAGTCTTCCTGAGCAGGCCGCCCCTCATCTGCAACAACTGCCCCAACCTCTGTACCCTGAGCAGCCAGCCACCATGCCAGTGCTCCTCACCCCCCACCAGTCCGACTCATACCCCGACCTTCCCGAAGACCTTTCCAAGAGCTCGACGACGTCGACCCCAGCACCACCCCCTTCACCACCGTGCGTCGAGATTCCAAGGGTGCCGCTGAGAGACGACCCTGACAGTCTGTACAACTTGACGCAATTAGCCGAGGTCAGCCTTCTCCACCCCGACCTCCACGGATGCCCTGATTGTGGAAAAAGGTTAATAATTTTTTTCATTTTTATTTAAAAAGTAGTTTGAAAATTACTTTTTAGTTTTTATTCATAAAAATACACAAAATATAATTTTATTATTGCTTATTTTTTTTATCAAGATTTAATTTATGAGTGTAATAGATTTTATATTTTTACTAAGTTTAATTATTTTAAATTTTATTTAACGTTTTTTTTTATTATTTGTCATTTAAATTGTTTATAATTCGTATAAACCTATTTATTTTAATTTATTTAAATTTGATTCTTGGTACTTCTTCTCCATTATTTGTATTAATATATACTTTATTTTGGACATTTTTAATGCCGAATATAATTAATTTGCATTGGCCATATAATTTTTCAATTGATTTTAATGAAATCAAGTTATAAAAAATTTGACCATTTCAGTTTGGACAAGGAAGGGGCGACCTGGTGGTTCAATTTCAAATTTTTATCCTCATATGAATAGCTTTATTTTTCATTTAATAGCTAAAATTCATTAAAATGACATTTTAAAGAGATTATTTTTATTAATTTCTTACATATCTAGTTTGCGTGTAATTATATTGTGAAACTCTTTTAAGCAATATTTCTTTTCCTTTTGTGAAGATACAGCACTTCAAGCAACCTTGCCAGGCACCGTCAGACACACCGTTCTCTCGAGGACAAGAAAGCGAGGCGCTGTCCCCACTGCGACAAGGTTTACGTCTCCATGCCAGCTTATTCAATGCACGTGCGAACCCACAACCAGGGCTGCAAGTGTCCCTACTGCGGAAAGTGCTTTTCGAGGCCCTGGCTGCTTCAGGGCCACATCAGAACTCACACAGGTATTATTTTCAACATTTTATTTTAAAATAAACAAAATTTTAATTTCATTATTTCTAATTGTAAGTTTTTTTCCTCTTATAATTGAAAAAATAAAATTTATTATTTTAGGTGAGAAACCTTTCCGGTGCAACGTGTGCAGCAAGGCCTTTGCAGACAAGTCAAATCTCCGGGCGCACGTCCAGACCCACTCGAACACCAAACCCTTCATCTGCGGCCGGTGCGGAAAGGCCTTCGCCCTCAAGTCTTATCTCTACAAACACGAGGAGTCGTCTTGCATGAAGCTGAACAGGACCCACGAAGCGTCGAGCAGCAGCAGCGGATCGTCGCCGTCGTCGCCGCGCTCCGTAGATGCGTCCGAAATCTGCAGGGGTGGCGACACCCCCAGACCACCCTTCAATCATCACATTGGTCTTCACATGGTCGGCCAGGCCAGAAATGTTGGAATCATGGCTTAACCATGGAAAAGTCAATGAATAGAATAATGGCAAAAATTATAGTAAAATTTTTGATAAATCAAAATTTTTAGTTTTTCTATTTATTTAGTCAGAAAAAAATTAAATTGTGTCATGCAATTATATGTGACCATTGATTTTTGAATAACTCAAGTCTAAATGAAGCTGACTCTTCCTAAATATATAAATATTTTGTGTGTGACTAACTGCGTAATTTTAAGGAAAGAAAATTGGAATCAGATCCATGTGATGCTGGAAGCACAATAATTATTTTAATTAGTCTTGTATTGGAGGCAATGCGCCAAGAATTATACATTTTAGTATGAAAAACTTGAAGCAGAGGTGCTCGGGGACCACGACGGGTTTATATTTTTATATAAATACGAAAATAACACTTCTTCTGATACACCTGATAGATAGTGCGAGTTCTATTTTTTGCTTTTATTTAGAGCATAGTTTTTTGAGGAAGGATGGCTAATGACCAAAAAGTGCCTTAAACATGTGCCACAGAGAGCAATTAAATTGCTTTGTGTTAGTCATGATAATTTTAGAGTGTCGAAACGTGTAGATAATTAACCGTTTTCATTTTATTTTTGTGTGTTGATTGTTTTTATTTCGAAATTTGAAATTCTCAAACCACTCGTATGAGAATATCGCGGTAAACAGGTACTTAAATACTGTAGATAGGCAATTTGGATTACGTTTAAGTCGGGAAACAAAGGAAGCTTTTGCCCCACCCTTATTTAAACCCTCCGCTGTAAATGCTTTCAAAATACTTTACGATTAAATATTCTATTGGAGAGTGTACAGCTCTAGTCTCATTAGTTATTTTGTGTGCATCACTTTTGTAGAAAATTTAATGCATGTTTTAGTTAGTTTTCGATAGTCGAGTTTTTTTTTAATGGTTTTGTTTATATTTTAGATTTGGCCTAAAAAAAGGATGATTAGTGTAGTAGCTAGTCAATTGTATCATAAAAATATTGTAGAGGTTTGTTTTGCTCAAGCAGAACAAATCCGTAATGTTTTCGTTTTATTTTTCATCCTCTTCTCCAGACTGAATTGTATTAAAATCTATAAATGCGTTTCTTTAATTTTGTAATCTTGTCAAAGTGTATATTAAATGATATTAGAATTGTCCTCGAATAAAAATTTTGGTACCTCTTGACACGAAATTTGTTTTAATTAGAAATTTAATATAAAAAAACTTTTGCCTAAAAATAAATCCTGCTTTTTCGTGCTATCCAATGCGATTGACGCGGAACGGAGAGATTAAAATCTGACCTCTTTTGAACATCCAAAGAAGTCGTTTGTTTTTGGCCTGCAGAGTAAAAACTGCGATTGAGAGCGGATCCCCAATCAATTGTCAGCCAACAGTGCGTTTGATGAAATAACAAATGAGGGGGCGCCCCTCTTGCCCTCTGCCTATTGATTCGTTAATAGAAAAATCCACTCACTTCCTGAATCGAAAACAATCTAATTAGTTTTATTTTGTGTACAAATTTAATAAATATATTAATAATTTAAAAAATATGTAACCCAAGCAAGAGAGGAACAAGAAAAAATAAAATTAATGACGCCGGGAAAATATTAATTAATCAACGAAATTAGAGCGTCTTTTGCTGATGATCTTTGAGATAATTCTTGGCTGGAGTTTTTATGCACAAAATTAATTCGGAGCGTCTGTGTGCGAATGAATGGGTCTTTGTTATTTTGTTGTGGTGCGCAGCCGACGGCGAAAGAGAAGGGGTCGCAGGGGTCGCCGAGCATCAGCGAGGATCATTATGTGGCCGGAGACGATGCCGCCAAGTGCGGCAGTTCCGCTGCTGACCATCGTCACCTTGGCCCTTGGTGCTGTTGCAGTCAGCGTGAGTACTCTCGATATTTTCGGCACGTGTCCCTCTTAATTTCGCCTATTCCTAGGCGCGCGAATGGCCGGACCTTCAGCAGCTGGCCTTCCGCACTCCGGAAATAAAGAGCAGGGGTTACCACGGAAGTCACATCCATTCCCTCAGCGACTTCAAGTTTGTAAGTGAAAAATAAACTTTTTTTTAAATTTCGATTTTTATATTTGATTCTTTAGAAAATCATTGCGCATCGCGATGGCAAAGACAAAGCGTGCTACTTGCAGAGCATTGCTCCCGGAAATCTGAGACAAAATCTTGAGCTATACAAAAATATTCTTTATGAGAAAACCAATATTAAAAGGGCGCAAAATGCGTTTGTCACTGCTCCCGGATCGCTTTCAAAATCCCAGGTAAGGCGTGAGAATAATTTTTATAATTCAAATTAAGGAATTTCATGAACAGGTTCTTCATCTGGCCGGTAACAAAATTGCACGGTTCTGCAGGGGATTCACGACCATGATTCTTCTTCCTGGTCCACCCAATGTAATTGTAAATGATTTTCCTGAATCGGAAGAAAACAAAGAGAAAGAGCCAAAGTTGCCTAAATATCTCAAGGAGCAAATATTGATGAAACGTAAAAAACTAATTAATAAAATATTTAATTAAAAAATTTGACAATAAAATTTTCAGGACGGGAAAAAAGGAGCGCAAAAGGCAAAAAGAAGTATCAGGGTCAGACGCAAGTGCAAACTATATCCACGGGCGGTGACCAGCCCAACTTAGCGGAGGGCGTTTCGCAGAAAAATACGTCTATTGCGAAAGTTTGTAAGTTTCGAAGTGATTTTCTCTGGTAAATGCTAATTATTTGTCTCACAGCTACACACAGAGGCATGAGCCAAGCCCAAAGTCAAAGTGCTTATGAAGAGGATTGCGACACGTGCGGCGACAGGCACACACCACAGCGACAACCTTACCCTGATGCATTTGCACCAGGTTCGTATTCTCCTGGAGGCATACCACCTTCCAACGTTGCACATCAACCTGGATTCCAACAACGTGGGCAAACATTTGGCCCTGGTGGCCAGATCTACGGGCCTGATGGACGCCCGACGCAGCCAGCAGGCAGTCAGGGCTTGCGGCCTGGCGAATACCTTGGCCCTGATGGACAAATTTATGGTCCCGATGGGCGGCCGCTTGGTTCTAGAGGAAATGGGCAACGACCCGGAGGACAAGGTTATGGTCAAAATGGGCAGCAGGTTAGACCTGGAGGGCCAATACTGCGACCAGGAGAATATTTTGGGCCGGGAGGTCAAATTTATGGTCCTGATGGAAGACCAATAACTCCAGGGCAAGGACTGAGACCGGGGGAAAGAGGCGGACAAATATTTGGCCCCGACGGGAGACCAATTTATCCAGGGCAAGGTCAAAGACCTGACGCTTTAGGCCCTGGAGGACAAATTTATGGACCAGATGGAAGGCCTCGCACCTCAGAAGGTCAAGGATCACGACCTGGTGGTTCAGATGGACAACAACTTGGTCCTGCCGGTCAAGTATATGGCCCAGGCGGCCGACCAGTTGTGCCTGGTGGACAATATTTGCGCCCTGGGGAAACGCTTGGCCCTGGTGGTCAAATTTATGGTCCGGATGGTAGGCCTGATGTTTCAACAGGGCAAAGACCTGGCGAGGGAATAGCTCCTGGTGGACAAAGTTATGGGCCCGACGGGCGACCTCAGGTTCCGGGCGGGCAAGCTCTACGACCTGGTGAAACATATGGAACTGGCGGACAGCTATTCAGTCCTGACGGACGACCTCTTACTTCAGGAGGGCAAGGTACAGGTGGACAACAATTTGGGCCTGGAGGGCAAATATTCCAGCCAGGACAAATCTTGCGACCAGGAGAAACACTTGGCCCTGGAGGTCAAGTTTACGGACCTGATGGACGACCAACTATTAATGGTGGAAAAAGACCTGGAGAGAGCTTTATCCCTGGAGGGCCAGGTGGAAAACCTTTTGGAGAGACATTAGGTCCTGGTGGACAGATATTATTTAGACCAAGCGGACAACCAGCCTTTCCAGGGGGGCAGCAACCTGGTGGAGCATTTGGTCCTGACGGAAGACCGACCTCCTTGGGCAATTTGGGTGCGGCAGGTGGTGAGAAAATATATGGGCCAGATAGCCGGCAAATAACTCCACAAATTCCTGGGGGGCAACGCCCTGGAGAAAATATTGGTACTGATGGCCGGCCGCTTAGTCCTGGAGAACTGCAACAACAACCTGGCTTATCACATAGCCCCAGTGGACAAATTTATGGTCCTGATGGCCGACCTATTACTCAAGGAGGGCAAAAATTCCACCCAAATGGGCAGCCTTTCGATCCACAAGGACAGAGATTTCAACCTGGAGGACAAAACTGGCGTCCTGGAGAAACTGGCGGCCAAATATACGGTCCAGATGGACGCCCCATTATTAGTGGTGCTTCTGGTGGGCAAATTTTGGGACCTGATGGGCGACCATTAAGCATTGGGAATCAAGGGCTTCAACCGGTTGGCTCCCTGGGACCTGATGGAAGGCCATATTCAAATGGCCAAAATTTGCAGCCTGGTTATACTGTAACCAACGACCCAAGAAATCCCCTGTGTTTCATATATTGCAAAACAACAGGCCCTGATGGAAGAATAGCTCCAGGACAAGGACAAAGACCGGGCGACGGGTTAGGATCTTATGGAACAAGTTATGGTCCAGATGGGAGACCTATTTACTCGGGGCAAAAACCTTTCGGATCGATTGGTTCCGCTGGGCCAGGTGGTAGACCTAGTGAATCAGGAGAACTTCACCCTAGTAGAGGGATTTATGGACCAAGCGAACAACAAATTGGAACAGGCCAAAATGCCGGATCTAGAGGACAAAATTTGCGCCCCGGAGAAACTCTGAGACCTGGTGGACAAATTTACGGTCCAGATGGCCGGCCTGTAGGATCCGGGGGACAAAATTTGCGCCCTGGAGAAACTCTGGGACCTGGAGGCCAAATTTACGGCCCAGATGGCCGGCCTATAGGAACTGGGGGACAAAATTTGCGCCCTGGAGAAACTCTGGGACCTGGAGGCCAAATTTACGGCCCAGATGGCCGGCCTATAAGAACTGGGGGACAAACATTGCGGCCTGGAGAAACTCTGGGACCTGGAGGCCAAATTTACGGCCCAGATGGCCGGCCTGTAGGAACTGGGGGACAAACTTTGCGCCCTGGAGAAACTCTAGGACCTGGAGGCCAAATCTACGGCCCAGATGGCCGGCCTGTAGGAACTGGGGGACAAACTTTGCGCCCTGGAGAAACTCTGGGACCTGGAGGCCAAATTTACGGCCCAGATGGCCGGCCTGTAGGAACTGGGGGACAAACTTTGCGCCCTGGAGAAACTCTAGGACCTGGAGGCCAAATCTACGGCCCAGATGGCCGGCCTGTAGGAACTGGGGGACAAACTTTGCGCCCTGGAGAAACTCTGGGACCTGGAGGCCAAATTTACGGCCCAGATGGCCGCCCTGTAGGAACTGGGGGACAAAATTTGCGTCCTGGAGAAACTCTGAGACCTGGTGGAGAAAGTTACGGACCAGATGGACGCCCAATTGCTCCAGGTGGACAGGTTTATGGTGCTGATGGTCGCCCCCTTACTACAGGGGTATATAATGGAGGTCAACGAAATGGGAACTTTGGAAACGAAGATGGGCAGACTTTGTACCCTGGTAATGGTAGGCAGCAGTTAACAAATGGAGCAGGTGGAACTGGAAATCAGTTTCCATACCAGCCAGGCACCGGTGGACAACAGTTTGGAGCAAACGGTGGTCGGTATGGAAACGGAGCACCACCTCAGGGCATAGGGAGCCCCTATGGGCCAAACTATGGGCAAGGACAACAAAATATATACAACCCTCAATTAACTGGTCAGCAGTATAACCCAAATGGAAATCAATATGGTCTTAATGGGCAAGGCGTAAGCAATTATCCTGGAGGAGGGCAGCCTAACGGTCTATATAACCAAAATGGATATAATAATTTATCACCAGGCCTTCCAGGTGAGGTTGGGCAAAACGTGGGTCCAGATGGCAGACCGCTGATATACGGTAGTTCTACAGGCGCCAACCTTGGAACTCCAGGGGCGCAATCAGGTGGGACAGACGGCAGCCTTACACACGGCTCTCCTCTAGATCTCAATCGTTCCATACCTGGAGTGGACGACGATGGGCATTCACAAGTAGATGTCAGCGTAGTGCAAGAAAATAATGAAACAATAGCATCTTCATTATCGCAAGGAAGATTTGGTGGCGGAAAAACGCAGACAAGTGTCTCTGGCAGTTACAAAGGCGGCGGTTCATTTTCGGCTCAAGCACAAACAATAGACGGTAAAAGAGGCGCCCAAAGCCAAGTTGTAGGAGGAGACGATGGTGCGTCCAGCTCCGGACAAGCATTCGGTGGAAAAGGCCAGTCTCAGTCTCAAATCAGCCTCTCGACCGACACCGGTCTGACGTCTGCAAGTTCACAAACAACAGGAAACAATTACGGCACTCAAAGTGAGGTTCAAGCCGGCGAAACTGGAGGAAATTCTGTTGCTCAGGCGAGTGGAATTGGGAAAACATCAAGCCAGGCGCAAGTAAAATTTAAACCGTACGACAGCGCAACCGATGATGACAGCCAGAAGATTGTATTCCGAGGAGGTGGATCGGCAAGCGCTCAAACTGGTCCCCGCACAGGTGTTTCTCAAAGCAAAATTCACGGTTCGTTCAAACACGGAATTTCCTATTCTGGTGTAGCGCAGGCGTCATCAGGATCTAAAGATGAACTGGAAAGAGACGGTTTGAAGCCCTTGGACGTCATTAATCTAAATGCCACAAGCGACGCTCCTAACAAAGTTCCAGCACGTAGACAAAATTCGCCCCCACCAGCCACATCGCCTTCGACCACTACTACAACAAACGCCCCTTTAGTAACTTCTGACGATGACGACGATGATTATGATTCTGCTGAACAAGAGAGCCTGCCAGGTACAACTGAAGTTCCACGACGCACCGAAAGAGGCGACCAGCCTTCCACTCATCTGGAAAATAGTGATGACCTGGAGACGTCTCCAAGCCAGAGCGGGGTACAACCCTATCCGTATGTAACTCGAATCGACCTGCCACCAGGCGACCTTGAGCACGGTTATTTGCGACAAAGGCAGGAATCAGATGGGCGGAGAGATCACTCAGCTTTTTCAGTAAATAATTTCAAACAAGAACAATACCAGAGCAGGTTCCAGCAACAACCTTACCAAAGACAAACAGTTACAGTCGGAAAGCCCGTAGGTTCTGTCGCAAATCCGCAGGGCCAAAGTTCAGGTGGAAATCAGCCGTCTCAGAGTCAAAGTGTAATTTTGGGCGACTTGGGCAACACAGGCGTTCGCGTGATGCAAGATGCGGACGGAATGGGTCTCTCGAATGGAGAGGTTTTGCAACCGGGACAGTCCGTCCCTGGCAGAAATGGATATTCCATTCCAAGCGGTTTCCGCGGACGAGTTGTAGGCAGCTCTGCAGGGAATAACGGAGCCCGAGCGAGCAGTGACAGAGGGGGGCAGGCGCAGACCCAGACAGTAATTTTGACCCCTGAACCAGGAAAATTCGAGTACAAGGGGCCTAACGGGCTTGAAAATAAGGCGGCCGACAATGCAGACTATGATGAATACGAAGCGTCACAGGAAAGCGAGGAGGAAGAAAGGCAACCTCTGCAACCAAGGCAGAGAAATTATGGGGCTTTTCAAGCCCCTCCAACTAGTTTCGTATCTGTAACACAAAAAGTTTCAAGCCAAGCGCCGTATTCGTCTCCTAGAGAACTTGAGCACACTTACTACACTAAAGCTTCAAAATGTGGCTACTACACTTTCTCCTGTCAAATAGTGGAAGGATCAAATGGCAGAGCTAAAGTTTGTAAGCCAAAGTTTAACATGGATGACAAGAATTGCAACTAATTCAAATTGTTTAATTGAAAGGAATTATTAACTTCTATATTCTTAATAATCGTGCAAGTTCATTTAACAGTAATGAATCATTGTGTAGGAAAGTATTCTCAATTATCACAATAAAATTATTTCATTACATATTTTATTGGTTGACTGTTTTATTTGATTTCAGAATTCAAAGTGGATGACATTTAATTAAAGATAAAATGTGGCTTTAAATTACACGGAATGTCGAGAAATACAAATATACAATAATATAAAAGCAGTTACTTCATGAATTTAAGCACAATATACTTTGATAATGACTTTCTGCCAGAGTAAAATAAAATAAACGATGCCAAAATTTAGAAACTGCTGCAGGAAATGCGAATAAATAAAAATATGACACTTTACCTTTTAAGTCGGTCTATTGCTACTAGGACGAGTTAGAATTCATTGAGGTCATCATCACTGGGCTCTTCTTGCATCAAGTCTTTAGTACGCTGACTCAAAATCCCAGATGTGGAAGTGCGACACCTTTTTGAAAAGAAAAAACAATAAGCTTGATAAAAATAAGTTAACAAAAAAATAATTACTTCAAAATTAAAAGTACAAAGCGTGCGGTGTTTTTACACTTAAAAATGGTGCAGAAAAAAATGTAATAAAAAAAATACTAAGCATTTCACTAAGATACAGTCTACATTACTTAATAGTCTGAATGGTCTTACACGTCAGGGAGTGGGTGAAGGTGTGTTAGAGGGAGGGGGAGCTGAGGGCTCGTCTAATTGTGGTCTATCGTCACTGTTGATGAGTGATATGAAAACTTTATTATTTGACTCAAATGAAAAGTTTGGTGGCATACCTTGTTTCTAGATGCCTAACCTGAACCTGCATACTTTCAATCTGCTCTTGCAACTCTTCATTGGTCCTCTGCAGCTTTCTAAGGAAGATTAAAATGTATTAATAAAAAAATTCATTAAATTCTTATTATCAAACCGTATATTATTTGTTGCTGTGTCGGCCTCATCTTCAGCTGTGGCCAACTCTTTCTTGAGCTCTTCCACTCTGGTCCGTAATCGCTTCACCTCAGCTTCGTACTGCTCGGCCCTTCGGATGGCGTGGGAAAGCTCAGTAGATTTATCTTGGAGGACTTTCTTCAGTTTTGTGTGCGAATGCTTTAAATCTGTCAGCTCCTGTAACGTAAGTTATTAGTAAATTTGATGAGGGTGTTTGAATAAAATTACTTTTCCACGGTCTGACAACTCTTGCTGCACTTGACGAAGCTCAGCGTCTGCCGAGGGCATCGGTCGACCCCTGCGTTCTAGCCGCTCTTGCAAATCTCTGATTTCAGCTCTCAACTTTTTATTTTCCCTCTCCAAGCTCAGTTTTTCAGTTTCGAGACGCTCACGTTTGCCCCATTCTGTGGCATTTTCTGCCTGGAGACGCTCAAGCTACAAATGAAGATTGAATTAAATCAATTCTAAAAATAATCATAATTAAAACTAATGCTATTCATTCAAAAAAATAATCCCAACAATGCAATCATGTTAGAAAGCAGTTTTTTCGTCTTTCAAGCTTTTTAGAAGGAATTTCAATAAATGAGTGCCAAGCATGTGAAAGTGCTCGAAGGTGGAAAGGAATTCAGTTAGTCAAGACAGATGACAGACCGATGAAGAGTCACACCTCATGTTCAGAACCAAGACCAGGGGATAAATTGGAAGCAATAGCTCCCACCTCTGCTCTGAGGCCAGCCAGTCGTCTGTCCAAAGAGTCTCTCTGAGCTGCTTCGTCCCGCTTGTCCAGCTGGGCCAGGTGAGCAGCCTGCTGCTGGTTGGCCTGCAGATTGATTATTTCTTTGGCTGCCTCATGTCGGAGTCGGCTCAAGTCCTCAGCGGTTCCTTTGACATCAGCAAGCTCCACTTGCGCTTTTTCCAAAGACACTTTCAGCTGATTTCGCTCTCTGGAGAAAAAAATATGATTTAGAATTTTTTTTCATAAATGATTTAAAAATTATTTTCTCTGCTGCAGAGCATTCATTACATTAATTAAAAAAAAAAAAAAATAAATAAATAAAAAATAACTTGAATTTAGAAATACTTTTTTAAAATAATTAATTTTAAATTCATTAACGTAAAGGAATTTTAAAATTGGCTATTTTGGAAATAAAAAATTTAAAATCAAAGAAAAAATATCATTTAATATTGAAAAAAAATTAATAAATTAGTTCAACTAAAGTAATTGATTTAAATATTAAATTTCCCATTTTCCTTCAATTTATAAATTGCAGAAAATTACATTAACTTAAATTTTTTTCCCTCTTACTCTCTTTCAGCTTGCAGCATCTTTTGAGATTCGTCAAGGCGCAGCTGCAGCATGGACATTTTTTGGTGCAGATACTCCAAATCCCCAGAGAACTCATCATCGTTGTCCCCACTGTCCGGAGCGTCCCCGATCTTGCTGATGCTGTCGTGCTCCTCGACGAGGTCGTCCCCGTCGACAGCACTGTCTTTACCGGAGCTGCTGAAGCGTTCGATGGCGTGTTTGGGCACGGCGCCCTGCAGCACATACTCCTCCACGGCAAACTCCTTGTCCATCACACTGTCCAGCTCACTGTCGTCGCGGTTAGTCCGCAGAATGTTGTACACGTCGGCACTCACCACCTCGCTCTTCTTCTCACCACCCCCTTCCCAATCACGCAAAATCAGCTGCTGCATTCGGTCCAGCTCGTCGCGCAGCTTCACATTGATCGACTCGAGCTCCACCTTGTCCCTCTTGAAGGAATTGGTGTCCTTCAGCGCCGCCTCCAGTTTCGATCTCAAAATTTTTGCTTCCTCTCTCGACTTGTTTCGCTCGTTGCGGACCTGGAATTATTCAAATTTATGAAGTTTTATATTTGGAGGAAGGTGTTCTGTTTACTTTGCTCCACTTCTCTCTCCAATTAGCTGTACAGTCCGACCACCACCTCATGGTTTTCTCCATCTGCGCTGCCCTCGCTCGAGCTTCTTCCAGTTCTCTTTGCCGAGCAGCCTTTGCAATAAAATTTTGGTTAATTCCAAAATAGACATGATTATGAATATTTAAATACTTCTCTGGCTTCCCATTCCGTGTCATATCTGCTCGATCCTAAAGTATTAGAATCGTGATGGACATCCCTGTGCCGACGGGAAGAAGTCCCGCCTCCGGTGTTGGACTGTGCCATCGTTTATCTGAAATAAAAAAAGGTTGAAATTCGCAATGCTTTTAATTGTAGATACTTGAATATCCAAATTTTTTTATTTTAATGTAGATAAGACAAAATAAAACAGAAATTTAAAATCAGGTGGATTAAATGTCTTTGATACAATCCATACATAATTTTTGTTTCAAAGATATGAAAGATCTGATTTGAATTTCAGAAAAATATTTTTGCACTTTGTATGTAAATTTTGCTCCTCATAAAAAGTTTGCAACAGTTTTATCGTGTACGGAGGGTGAATAATACATTAAAGTATTGATTAAAATTACTGTCAATCAGCGTACAAATTCACTTTGCAGAATAACATCTTCCGAAGGCTCGAAAACACGAATACAATTTTGCCGATCACATACTCAACGCTGCGGGCTTATCCGTCACATCTCTGCGCGTCAGATTTCTGCAATATTGATCCGCCGCTCAATAAAAAAGTGTAAAAACAGCGATTTTTGTGCAATTCCGGCAAAAACTCCTCGGGCCGATGATTGTTTTGCTTGTTTTTGTTGGCGACAGAGCCACCTGCCGTCGGCGCACCGCAACATCAGCCCATCCTCCTCACATTTGCCGGCCGGCAAAAAACATTATGGCGTCGTAACAACAAAATATGTGCACGTGCTAACAATATTTGCGCAGATCTTCGGTGATTTCTCGATCTAGAAACGATGGAATTCGACTCGACCGTGCTCGACTTTCAGAGGAGACTCCACAGCCTGCAAAATGAGTTCGGAAACCTGCAGGAAGCTGAAATTCCGGCAGGTAATTAGAAATGGCGCGATTCGCCGGTTCCGTTGAATCAGTTTCCCTCCAACGGAAAAAACAAAATAAATACGCTCAAACCTTTATAAAATGAGCTATTTTTAGATTATTCAATTTTCAGTAATTTTTTAATTAATCATCGGACATTTGCAGAAAAACTGGCACCGGTTTTAGAAAAATGGAGTGCCGTCATAGAGAAGAAGGAAGAAGTCCTGAGACGAAAAATTCATCTCTACCTAGTCTTGAACACCAACTTTCCCTTTTGCAGTGGCGTCGAGGTGTCCGACGACGTGGCCCACCTCACTGGATCTGCTCCTCTTCTCAGTCCAAGACTTCTGATCGCTCTCGTGCGGGGCTGCCACCTGATGCCCTACGCCTACGAGACCATCAGTTTTGCAGATCCAGTCCTCGCCCTGCATTACTCGGATGTTGTCCTCCGCGAGAACAGTGGCCTGTCGGCTCTGGACACCTTGGATGAAGTTTTTTCTGTGATGAACTCCATTTTCATCCAGCTCGGCAGTTGCCGTACCCCAAATGTCCAGAACAAACTGGCGTCGGAGTTCATCAAAGTGAACAACTCTCTGTCTCAGATTCTCGTCAAGAAGCTGAAGGACTTGTCTAGCTTGGAGAAACTGGAGGCTGCAGGAATTACGGCCAAAAAGTTGATCGAGTTGGTGCTTTTGTGCATGCAGGTCATGCTCGAGGCTCCGAAAAATCCTGACGATTTTTACCTGAGAAACTTGTTTGCCACCTTTGACTATGGACAGTGGCCTGAGAGTGGAGACTTTGACTTGATGGGATGCTTTGATCGAGTGGTTGACCAGTGCGAGCGGAGTTTCAAGGCCATCGACGTAGACCGATGGATTAGCTGGGAGGCAGTCAAAGGTCAGACTGAAGGGAAAAACTTGCAGATGGAAATTGGAGAAGCAACCTATAGGTAAATTTTATTTCTTGTATTGAAATTTATTAATTTTACATTTCGAAGATAAAAATATGTTTTTTCAAATAAATTAATAACTTGTTAATTAAATTTCAGGTGTGTTGAATTTGAGCCCAAGCCGAGCAAAAGTGTGAAACAACTCTCGGCTATTCTGCTGGGATTCCAATTGAAGCCGGTCTCAGAATTCGACCTTGCCGATCTGGATAGGGTCATTTCAAAGCTAGAGGAACGCCCAAAAAAAGAGTGGCTTTCTGCGTTGCTGACAAAGAATGACGCTTTCAAAGATTATAGAACAGTGCAGATGATTGAAAAGCACTCTGAGCTCTGGGACTTTGAGATTGTGTCAAATATTCTCAAACTGGCCACTCACCCGGAAGCTTGTGATGCTGAAAAGCTCAAATCTGTAGTTTTGGAAGCTTTCAAAACTATCAACATTGAGGAGCAGAAAACACTGATCAACAGCTACTTTAAAGAATTTGGCATTGGAACACATTTCAAGGCCTCAAACTTTGATTCTCAGGTCACAACTGTTTTGAACAGGTCATCAAATTTTGAGACAATGAGAGAAAAGGTAAATTAATTTAAAATATTATTTTTAATATTTCATTTATGGATTTTTCTAATCAAATAAATTTTCAGTGGCTTCCTGAATTTCTCATCTTGAGTCTGCAATCTCCCAAAGAGCTGGTGGAAAAGTCTGTGGTGTCAGGCTACGCGAGCCGTGGTCAAGGAACCTTAGTGGCTCTCGCTCTCTCGGAGATAGCAAGTCTTTGCACCTTTCCTTGCGATGGAACAACAGTCCTCTTGAGTGCTCTCAAGTCTGCAATCTCGGACATCGATCCGTCAACATCCCACCTCACCCATTTTGTCCAGCAGCTGGAGGAAAGGGGGCTTATCAAATCTGTGGACTTCATCAAGTGCTGTGTGTTACCCACTCTCAAATCAGACCTCGGCTCTTATCGAGTGCCATATTTGCTTTTGTGGGTTCAACTTCTCAAGGTAAATATCATTTAAAAATCAAAGTACAATTTATTTTAATTACAAAATTTTAGCGCCTGCTGAAGGTTGACAGTGCAGAGCAGGTCGATTTGGACAGTAAATTGAGTTTGGCTGTGCTGCTGGCAGTGCTGGCTGAAATTCTACAGCGAGCATCTTGGGTGCTCGGAAAGTTCAAACATGCTGAGTCCCTGCTGCGAGCAGAGACCGTACTTTTAGTTAGACCCCTGGCATGCAGGTATGCCAACAGCATCACCAACCCTGAAGGTAAACAATTTCCACAAAAATTTATTCAGTGAAAATTTAACGGAAATAAATTTTCAATTTCAGACAAGGAGTTGTTGTGGCTCCGCACAGGGCTTTTAAGACTGACCTCCCACAACCGAGCTCACTTCAGTGCCATTTGGACCCACTTCAACCTGCCAGTACCTTCCATGAACATGGGCTCCTTGCTTTTGAGCAGGGAGGCCATGCACCAGCAGTCGGGCATGCCGCCAGGAGGCCCAGACCAGCTTCTCAGTCCACTGCTAATTGTACATTTTTGCTTGAAGAATTTAGAAAAATTACTATTATTATTTTTTTTACCAGCTGCTGCCATCGTGTTGCACCCCAGAGTGGCGCCTCCTCATCACAAGTCTTGCTAAAGTCCTCTCGAGCTACAACGTGTCCGACCAAGAGGTGGAAGATGCTGAAGAGAGGGACGAGATAAAAATGCTCCCAGACGCTATCAGACTGCTGGTCACTGCTCTGATGCTGCAGGCCTTGATGCTCAGCCAGCAACAACCTCCTGACGATGCAAATTACAGCAACGAGTGTGCCCTTGCGTGCCTGGAGAACAGCATAAGGAATCTCGGAATCATCATGAAGGTAATTTTTGCTATTGATATTTTTGAAAATTACACTTATTAAAATACTTCACCTTGGAAACAATGGAAGAATTCAAAATAAAAAAATAGTTTATTTTTATTTTTAAAAAAATTGATAGAAATAGCATTTAATTTGTGCTTCCTCTCAATAATAATATATTTATAACCACACAAGTACCAATAAATCTGCTATTACAAATAACATTATCTTATAAAACATAATACAATTTATTATTTCAAGTTTTTAACAACCAATTTATTGACTTTGATTTAATATTTCTCTTTAATTCTAGGAGGAATGGTTGCCTAAGTTGACGGACACGTCCGAGGTGGAGAATGGTGCTGGAGTGGTGCGGCAAGTTGCTCTTCTCTTGCGCTCGTTGCCCTCGTCAATCTCCTCGAGCTGCTCGTTGGCCCTCAGTGGCGTCCTGCAGCAGGCACACGAGGTGCTCCTTTTGCAGGCAGGCATGCAGACAGACTTGGCCACCTGGTGTGCCCAAGAACTGGCTCTCAGCCTTGCTTTGCTGCCTGATCGAGAGGCTAGGCAGTCGTTGGCCAGGAAACTACTCATTGAACCAGCCCTGGCCCAAGTTTGAATATACCCAAAGGATTGCTACTTAATTAATTTGATTCTCGCTCAAATGTTAGTTATTACATTCCGAAACTTCTTTTCATTTGCTCAGATTTTTGACTATGTGACTCGAGAGCCAGTGGAAATGATATCAAATGACTTTTTCTGATAAATTATTTGATTTGATTAAGAGGAAACTTGATTTGTTTGCTATTTAAAATAATACATAAAAAGCTGTTTATCAAAAAATAGCAATCTGCTAGCTATTGGAAATACTCATCAAATGTATTCTAGAGGATAATCAAAATATATAAAAAATGCCCTTACTAGGAAGATCAAACCGAAATCCAAATGAACTCTGTACCAAAAATGTGAAGAACATTATAATGCAAATAAAAACAATTGATTGAAATGAAATTTTTTTATTTCTATTGTTTTCTATGTTTATTTCCATGGATTTCTAACAAATTTTTGTATTCCTGTCATGACTTAAATTTGTTTGAAGAAATTGACACACGAGGAGATGATAATGTAAGCAAATAATAGAAAATAACTCTTATTAATAACATAATAATTAATTTTTAAAAATTTTTTTTTTAAAGAATGCAATTTTAAACATTTTCACATTAAATAAATACAATAATAAATAATAGTTTTTATTATAAAAAATTTTAACAAATAAAGAAACAGAAGAAAATTTCATAAAATTAATAAATCAACAAAATTAGGAACGAATAATACACAAATTTTAATTGTGCTTCTTACAACGAAAAAAGTCTGATCTCTTTAATTTTTCTGTTAAACTTGCTCTTCAAAAGAAGAAAACTGCTGATGTTAAGTGTGATTTGCGGGGAATGAGCTACAAAAATAACTTCCAGCAGTCCAGAGGCGCAACGAGAAATTAAAAATCCACACAAGCCAAAATAGCTTCGTGTCTGAAAATACACCCACAACATTGCAAGAAAACCCGGCGTTTTGATCAAGCTCCGAACTTCCGCCAGCCGGCGCATTTTTTCATATCAGATGATTTGCAGCAGGCGGCACCCTGACCCTGAATTCTCGACTCGGTAGGTGGAAGGAGATGGCGCAGGCCCGAGCGCGTCAGGTGAAGCGGCGGCGGCGGCGGCTCCCCTCGGCCAGCGCGCCGCCGGAGTGAGTCAGTCGGCTGAGCGCCGTCGTTGCCCACACAAGCACCAACACCGTCGCCGCAGCCTCGGCGTCGCCACCGAGACGAGTCTTGGACTCGCCGCTTCGCAAAAGATGCCCTTCTGCTGATTATCGTCGCCGTCCTTCCTTCAATTCGGCCCGAATCGCGTCCACACCGTCGGAATTCGTAAATTTTTCGGTGCGAACAGAGAAGAGTCGCGGGCGGTCCACAAAACGTACACCTGCGGAGGGTGGCCTTGAAAAGGAGCATCATCTGCCGCGGAGCCTCACACAGGGAGAATATTTTCATTCCCACTGAGAGCGACGCCGACTTCTTTATAATCTCTGCCGAGAATTTTGTTTTTCGTGTGCGAGTGAATTTTTGTGTTTTTATTTCGGACAAAAAGATCGAGGGAAAAATGCCTTCGAAAAAGCAGTACAATTTGGTGCAGAACGACGACTACGACACCCGGATACCTCTCCACCCTGATGAGGCCTATCACCATGGCATCACATTCCAGGCAAAGGTAAGACTTTTTTTCAAAATTTTATAATTTTGATTAATTTAAAATTTATTGCCGGGAAATTGAATTATAAATTTTTTTCATTAAAATTTAACTGATGTTAAAATTTTCTTGACTTTTGAGTTACGGAAATCGCGGATATTGTTTTTTCCTTCTTACTTTAAAAGTCAAACACGACACAAGGTGAGACCAACCGAGAGCGTTTTAATACCTTGTTGCGTGCTTTCGGTAATTTTCATATTTTTTTTTCACTGATTCTCGGAACCGAGCCCTTCGCCATAAACTACTCATTTGTTGAAACTCTAAGATCGCCAAAAGTTATAAAATTGTTTGTTTTGATTATTCTCTCTACTTAAATGCGGAAACGAATCGCACCTGCCCTCGAAATTTCTGCCCGAAAAGTTTTAATGGAAAAGTTGATAATTTTCCCGCAGTGTCACATCTCTCGTGCAAGCAATCCGATGACACGCAGCACGTTTTTTGCATTAATAAAAGCCGTGCACGAACAAAACACGAGACTGAAAACCGAGAGTGATTCAATCATCTCTGACTGACAGCAAGAAGTGCAAAAAAAGTCACAACGCTGAATCACGCCTGCAGGGCAAATCGCCCACGTCCCAGTACATACGAGTTTCGCGATTTATTCGAGAGCAGCTGGAGTGCGTGTCAAATAAGAAAAATTATCGTCTGGGCAAATAAAAAATATTTGATCAGCCAATTTTCCATGGGGAATTATTCTCCTCAAAATATTACTAAATACAATTTAAAATTTAGTTTGTTGATCAAATGTATTGATAATAAATAATTAGGTTTGATCAGGTTTTATTATATCTTTATTTTATTTATTTATAATTATAATTTTCTTTATTTATTTATATTTATATATTTTATTATTTAATAATTTTATTTATATTTATTCTCCATTCAATACATTGAAATTACAATTTAGCACCTTCCAATAATATGGTTGGTTTTTACAATGGTTTTCATAATAATAAATTTTGTTGCAAATTGTGTTCATTGATCTATCACGGAGGCAAAATCTGCTCATATATTATTACTAAAAGCGGGGTTTACTCTTATTTACCTTGAAAATATGTCAAGAAAACATAATTATTATATTTGACAGAATTTGAATGAATAAATTAATTATAGAACCACACACGTTTGCGACCAAATTTGCATAATCATTTTTTAATTAATAATGTTTTAAACTATAAAACTGAAACAATATTCAATTTGAATCATTTATTTCTTACTTAGTACTGCTTAGTACTTTACAATAGCAAATTTTAGTAAAGTCGCAAAATAAATGAAGTTTAATGAAAAAATTATCGCAAATAGAATGTGTTGAAATTGAAAACTTTATAAACTAATACAAAGAAATTAGACTTATTGTATTTTGATGTGTTCTTTTAAATTTATAACAATTTTCTTTATATAAATAAATTGACGTGACCTCTATGAATGAACGGTGACGTGAACACCGGCGAGAAGTGCTCACAGCCAATGATTGGTCCACTTGAGACTTTAGCCGTGTATAATAATTATTCTCGTCACTTTCACCGCGCGTCTCAAAAGAATTTCCACGAATCCAAACACTAATCCGCTGCGTCTATATAAAACAACCAATGATTAACATGTTGGTCAGCACGCTTAAATTATGCAAGATGTTTTTCTGCGCGATTGATCAGCGCCAAGTGACTCACTCTCGGCAGGAAAAAAACGTAGTTTTACTTCCGAGTCGTGTTGCTCTCCACAGGTGAATCATAACGGAACCTGGGCCGAGAGGCCGAAATTGCTCACCGCGTCATTAAAAGGTCAAGCCCCTGTTATTGCATTGTATTCAAATGAGTGTGCGTACTTTTCTTTTCGTTTAATTCTAGATTCTAGACGTACGATGCGTAGGCGTGTGCGCGGTTTTTTAAACTATAAAATGCAGCCGGCAATTTGTTCCGCTTGGGGTGGAGAATCGGGGGAGCCATTGTGCCGCCTCACTGAGCACCCCCGCGTGACGATTTCCAGCTAGGGGGTTCCAGAATGTTTTACGACTCAAACAAACTAACTAACTACCGAGTTGAAAATAAATTTAAGCTAGAATTTCCAACTAGAATAATGTTTCAGTTTCTCGTTTTTCTTGTCTTCATGGTGGAAAAAAAATTTAAAAAATCCTTTTCTTATTCTGATAATTAAAAAGAGTTTCAGTTCAAATTAATGCAAATTAGCCCAATGAACCTGATAATCAAACTAAAATCAGGGTTAAAATGGCAAGAGAGTTTTGATCAGAAAATGAACAAAATCTAATGAAATTCTATAAAAAATGTCTATTGTGGTTATTTGAGCTTATTAAAGCCAAAAACGTTTTCCATTTACTGCGATACGCATAATGAGAGGAGTGAATTTTAACAGAGCTCACAACTGAGTTTAATTTATTATACAAACCTATAATTAAATTATAAATTTTTTATAGTAAAATGAATCAAAAGGGAAAATTGCAATGAAGTTATTTTACAATATTTAATTATAATGACCAGAATCGACATTTTTTTCCTCCGATGTAGTGACGCAACTTTGTTAATGAAAAGAATGCGGAGATGAGAATCAGCATCTTTTTTCAAAGGTTGCGTGCGCAACTAATGCGGCGCCTCCATTCCACTCCTGCACCCGCCGTTACCTTGCACCTGATAATGCAACTCGCTCATATAAACAATGATCAACTCGCTGATCGTGATTCATTATTCCCCCGCCTGCTGGACTTGTGCGCATTTATTTATATTTTTTATCCGCGTCCAGGTGCATCTCCTTCTCATCAGCGCGAGCAAGGCCTTCCAGCTTCTTCTTTTCTTTCCCAACACAAAACACATTATTCGCAGTAAATTGGATGTACAAAGAACGCAATATTGGAAAAACGAAGAGACTCCTTTGGTTCAATTTGATCTTGACAGCAGCCAGCGAATATTATATTCATATCAGGTGCATGCTACAGACACCTTATTGAATTCGCTTTTTCAGAAAAAAAAATGGCAACTGTTTATGCAGAAAAGAAATTGCACGTCTCAGCATAATCATGAAATAAAGTATCATTTTTATTATATTGCAAAACCGTTACTGTCCAAGTTTTTTTGAGCTTGAAATGTACATTTTTAATTTTTTTAAATATTTTGAGTCATTTAAAAATTAATTTATCAATTAAAAGTAAAATTTTTGTTTCTATTCCATTCTTTAAAGCCAAAAGTTTTTCTTGCACAATTTCAGTAAAACCACGTAAAAACCGCTTGAACATGTAAAATTTTTGTTTAAAAAAAGTAAATCTATAATTGAATCAAAAACAAAATATTGATCGATAAATCAGTAAGCGAATTATTCCGCACAACTTTCAGTAATGAAAAGAAATTAAAAAAAAGCTCAAAAAATTCTATATTTCCCTTTTGGAAGAAGCAAAAAAGTCACGCTTCAAAGGGCAGCGGCTGACAAAATGCGCAGCCCACGGCACTAAAGCATATCAGCTCTATTTCCTCAACTGTGACGGACGCGGGGACGCACGAAACATTTTGAAAAAGGTGGGACCAGCATGAGCCGAGCGATCACACACTGGACGTTAAAAGGCCCTTTGTCTGAACTTTACACGCACTTTTCTGCGTGGCACGACACCGAAAAATCGGCCAGTTTTCTGTTTTTGATTCCGCCCGTGTTTGTTTTGCGATCGAACATTTCATTGCATTTCAAACAAACACATGCGCGTCAATCAATTTTGAAACAAAAACGCCGCTGGTCCCCCGAGACCCAAATTAGCCCGTCGCAGGGGACGTTGACCGTGCGTTTGTATTTAAATTCAGCGGTGTCGAATAAAAACCGGTGGCTAAATTTAATTTTCACCACGGATGCTGACGCTTGGCGCTCTCATCTCTCGAAAAGAAAAGACGAGAGATGCATCTGCGATGTCTCGAGAGCCGCCGATGATGGACGCTTCTAATGTGACCCGGTCTTTGTTGCTCAACCGGCAAGTGCAGCTAAAGCACCAACCCAGACGCCGAGTCGGATTGCACGTTCGAATTAAGGACGCTTTTTGTCTGATTGGATTTACTCTGTTTGCGAAATCAAGTGGGTTCAGTTTGTCAAACGGATTAATTTGCTAAACCTTTTCAATCAATTTACGAAAACGAGAAAAATAAGAAGTATTGTATTGTTTAACAATTTAAAGTAATATAAACATTTTTTTTTCTATAAATAGTTTCATTGATATTTGCTTTTTTTAGTTAATTTTATTTATTAATCTTATCATATATTATCATTAAATTTATTGATTTATTTTTTACATATAAATGCGATACAAATTTTCCTGAAATTTACAATTTGTTCCAGTTTCTCAAATAATTATAACTAAAAGCAATAAATTTAAAATTATATTGTTTTTAATCAGCGTGATATAATTTAACTTGCATGTGCGAATTAACTCTCCTTTGCTAACCACTTTTTTATGTGCCGTTTGCTCATTAATTCAATATTCGTATTTTACACAAATAGTTATTAATTTTCCACAATCAAATCAAAATACTTTCAGTAAATTAATTAACAAACCACGGTAGGTGCAAAGGAACTCCGTGATGTGTGCTGGTCGGAAATAAACGTTTTTACAGGAAACCAGCAGCAGAAATGCAATCACTTTTACGCTGTGTTGCATTTTACATTCGCTCGAAATGCAGAAACGTTGCAGAGAGGAAATGGTCCAGTCGAGCACTCACACTGGGAGCGAAAAAGCAAGAATCGATCACCACTCTGCAACTCTTGGGTTGCATTTTGCATCAGAAAATAAATCGCAGGACTGCAGTTTGAAGGAGCGATGAAGTGCCGGCGAGAAACTGTGTTCGCAGCTCCGTGGCAAAATGCATTTTTGCAGAATCTCGGTGATTTTTGCGTGCCTGCTGCAATTCATTTGGCGCGCGAGTTCCACTCCATTTAACCCTGGCTGTTGTGCGCGGGGTGGCGCCATTTGTGCCTCTGAT